CTGAGATCCCCACGGGGTCCTCGCCAGAGGATCATAAAGAGCAAGCTGTGACTAGGTTCCCGTCAGGTGGCGGTTTCAGTAACATTTACAAGGCGCCTGATTATCAGGCCCAGGCTGTTGCCGATTACTTTGACAAGGCCAAGCCCTCATACCCATATTATGAGAGTGTGGACAACAGCAGCTTCGGTGAGAATAACGGTATCTACAACCGGATCGGACGTGCGTACCCAGATGTTTCTGCTATTGGAGACAAGATCATCATCTATAATAGAGGAACAGCCGTTTCAATCGGTGGGACATCGGCCTCTGCACCTGTCTTTGCTGGAATCCTCACTCGTATTAACGAGGAGCGACTGGCCGTTGGCAAGTCCACTGTTGGCTTTGCCAACCCTGTATTGTACGCTCACCCGGAGACTTTCTTTGACGTTACCAAGGGCACAAACGCAGGTTGCAATACTGATGGCTTCTCTGCGGCCGAGGGTTGGGATCCAGTGACTGGATTGGGTACCCCCAACTATCCGGAACTTTTGAGGGTTTTTATGGGTCAGTAGAGTAGTTTAAGTATAGGGGCGATCTCGCCTTTGTGGACACATCTTAGGACAATGAACACTAGGAATTCGATGCGATTCGATGCAATTTCTGTTAGAAAGCATAAACAGAAACATGATGATGATACCGGACTCCAATCTTGTACCATTCTCGGCACACGGAGCGATCGCACCGACAAAGCCTGTCCCCTGCAGAGGGCTTCGATGCCCAACGTGTCTGTTAGCGCACCCAAATGCTAAATACATATGCAAAAGACTATAATCCAGATTTCACATCAAAAATGACATCATAAATTACCCCGCGGGGGTGTAGGGGGATGTGGTAGACTCCTGAGGTCCTTCTATATAACTACATACCGATGCTCACATGTAAGTATTATATATATAACTATGTAACTAGCAAGTGTTTAGTATGTAGTAGGCTACAAGCTACACTGTATATATACTAATAGAATAGACCAGTACGTGAATTGGAAATAAATGAATCTAAATGACTTTCTTAAAGTACTCTGCTGTGTTTACCTCGGCGGAGTCTACTCCGAGAGGGGCGTGGGATGGACAATTCCCCCCCGCCGGAGAACACAACAGAGAGTTAAAGGGTGGGAGATTTCCACCAGCTTTCCTTTCTCTTTCCTTTTTCCTCTTTCCCTTCCAATTATTCTTCAATCTCTTAAAAAATCATGTCTCTCGGCAAGAAAGTCACTCTCAACTCCGGTCACCAGATCCCGTGTGTATATTCTGCAGAAAATACTGAAAGACTACATCACTGACCTCACATTCAGCCAGTTGGGCTTTGGGACTTGGCAGTCTGCCCCTGGTCAGGTCGGCGAGGCCGTTTATGAAGCCCTCAAGGCTGGTTATCGCCACCTGGTATGTACATGTATATCTATCATTTCTTCAAACTATTCACTAACCCCCACCCCCTCTTAGGATTTGGCAACTATGTATGCAGCACCAATCCCTTAATCGCAAAAGCCTGCCCATTACAATTGCGATATACTTACCAACTGTTCACAGCTACCAGAACCAGCGTGAGGTCGCGGAGGGCATCAAGCGTGCTTATAAAGATGTTCCCGGTCTGAAGCGCGAGGATCTATTTATTGTAAGTGTAATCCATACTTGAGATGTTACACAATTTCAGCAACTGACATGTCATTGTACAGACCTCCAAGCTGTGGAACAGGTACGGTATCTCGAACCACACCGTTACACTACAAACCTATTGACTCTGCATGTAGCCAGCACCGCCCGGAGGTTGTCGAGGCCTCTTTGGATGCTTGTCTTGCTGAGCTGGAGTTGGATTACCTTGATGTATGATCATTCCATTCAGTGACTCTCGTGAGATATTGCTGACATACCAAGCTTTACCTTGTTCACTGGCCCGTTGCCTTCCAGAAGGGCGACTCGTACTTCCCACTCGTTGCCAACAGCACCGTCGAGGGTGGTGATGTGATCATTGACGATGGTGTTTCTATTGTGGACACCTGGAAGGGCAAGCGGATATCTTGTGCGAATGGGAAAATCAGATATAGCTAACTCCTCTCAGCTATGACCCAGCTCCCCAAGAGCAAAGCCCGCTCCGTCGGTGTCTCCAACCACAAGATTGAGCATGTTCGTATCCTTCCTGCTCCAGAACTCGCCATACATTGGCTAATACACTCCTGTAGCTCGAGGCTCTCATTAAAGGCACCGGTGTTGTCCCTGCCGCCAACCAGATCGAGCGCCACCCCGTGCTCCAGAGCAATGACTTGATTGAGTACTGCCAACAGAAGGGAATTCACATCACTGCCTACTCTGTGCGTATCTATCCCCTACCCATTTCTTTTTGGTTGATGGCAGAGAAACTCAATCCTAACCCAATCTCTAGGCATTTGGTAACAACATGCTCGATATTCCCCTGCTCATCACCCGCCCCGAGGTCAAAGAAGTTGCCGAGTCTGTTGCAAAGCGCACTGGTCAGGAGGTCAGCCCCGCGCATGTTATGTAAGATTATACCCGCCTTTTCTGTGGTATTGTGCCGTGAAAGCTAACAGTCTTCAAGTCTTGCCTGGTCTCAAGTCGGCGGACACAGTGTCATCCCCAAGTCGGTTACGCCTTCGCGCATTCGTGACAACTTCAAGGAGGTAGAACTTACCCCCGAGGAGGTTGAGAAGGTCAGCGTTCTGGGCCAGAACCGGAAGCGCTACAACGTTCCGTATACTGCCAACAAGCCTCGTTGGAACATTGATATCTTCGGCGAGCCCGAAGAGAAGGCCGCTGATCACAAAGTCATTCTAAGTGTCTAATTTCGCTGATCGCCCCAGGCGACCGCTGGTTGAATGAGATATAGATATCGGTGTGTGCTATAGAGTGTCAACAGGCTTGCACTAGTACCGATATATCGAGATAACACGCTCAATAATGAACTGACCAAGATCAACTGGCCATCACGCATAAATGCCTTGGCCTAAGCCTATTGAATGCCTAGATTCTGAGATATTTACCATGTGTTCCTAGACCTCGAGTTCAAGCACAAGCTGTACCTGTAGAATGCGTTCCTAACAAAGTGGTCACAAAGTGGGCTCGCGATGGGAACGTATGACTCACATGCGAGGGTCCCAAAGACCATATAAGCCTAGGTAGATATAGAATTGTAGGTTACATTCACTCTGCCGTAAGCAGTTGCCTTCTTTCAAATTTGAAAACGAAGGGAAAAATCATTATTATATGTCGCATTTGATAGAAGGGACATAAGGGTATATGTATAACTGCAAAAGCCTGCCTGTCATGTCGCCTGTGCTATCTCTCGGCTGTTCATTCATGGCAAAAATCATCTCTGCTCATTAATCCATGAGAATCACCTTAGTTTGCGTGTATTGGTCGTTGATGAGAGCTGAAGACTGGTCCTGCGTCCAGCTCGTGATATTCATGGACTGGAGTGGATCCATTCGGGACCTCGTAGACTGAGCGACCATCCAAGAGTATCGCCGATCCCACTGGCTTTCGAGGCAAGAGAGTCTGCGGTTCGTCTGAACGTAATGATCCATCTTGAGGTGAGATACTGCCTTGGGAAATGGGGGTCTTTTCATCATGGCCCACGGCCGTTGATAGGGTTGATGAAGGTGGAAGAGTTGATTGGACGCCTCTAGTTCTCTGTCTCTGGCGCCGCCGTCGAAGCGCAAACCATATGAGCAAAACAATGAGCAGGACAACCACAATGACACCCACTGCAATTCCGCCCTTGGCTCCTGGACTTAGGCCAGACGAGCCACCAGAGCAAATATAGCCATTTCTGAAGACTCCGTTGGATTCCAAACTGTCCAATGCACTACATAACATGGAACTGCTGCCTCTGATTGTTGTCCGACCTTTGACTTGATCAAGAGAAGGTAGCGATACGCTGGCATATTCATCAGTATCTTAGAAGGTGAGGCGTTGATGACTGTTGCAATGATCATACCTGTCGAATGAACCCGCCAATTCTAACTGTCCTTCAACCTTTTCTAAATCTTGAAATTCCAGTGTTTTCAAGTTCGGATTCCCCGTGATGATTATGCCCGAAGAAACTTGTGATAGCGCGCCCATGGTTATGGTTGTGAGTGAGTTGAGGTCACTCAGTGTGATACCTCCCTTCACACTGTCCAAATCAGGGGCATAAAGACTTGCGAGTTCTGAGGCACCCTGAGCAGTTAATGCGCCCTTAATTTCCTCGACATTATTGATGGTGATCACTCCGCTGGTAGAAGGAGATATCGTAATGCTTCCGTCAAATGTGTCGCAGCTGCTCAGCTTGTCTGCATCGCTTTGACTCGAGATGGTCACACTGCTTGAACCTATAGGTAATGAGCTACACAGTTGGCAAGACGAACAAGCAATACATTACTTACAAGCATCAGAATCAGCGACCGCTCTTTGCCATGCACTGGCAATCGCCAGAAGGTAGATTACAATCATCCGTACGGGGAGGTCTGCGAAGCCCCAGTTGCTTATTTGACAGGACAAACCCTGAATGATTTCGCGCGAAGGCACCGGACATTAGAAGTTTTAAGGTCAATGAGATGGGGGGAGGCGGAGTCGAAAATTTCCTGCCTTGGCCGATTGTACTTTGTATAGCAATTGAACATCAAGACTGCCGATCGACGCGGTCTGTTTATTGTTGATTGGTCAACTTTGGATGTTTTGGTTGGCAATCCATATCCGAAACCCACGGCCCACTACCGGATCACTCTGCCTATGCAATTTTCATTTCAAGACACAGACCGGGAGACCGAATTCGCGAGTGCAGTCTGCTCAAAATCATTCTCTACCTGCCTTGGATTGATCGTCGCTGAATACCACCGAAGTCGTGTTGCTATTTTTGGATACGGAGCATGTAGTACTGCAACCCTTGTTCTGCTATTCCGCATGGAGTGGTAGTGTTAAATGGGGTAGGCAACAGAATTGGCGGCCCTTGGCAGCCCAGTCTGGTTCAAAATGCCCACATGGACTGGCATCATTGGAACCCCCCTCCAGGTACCAAGAGAGAAGAATCCATTTAGAACAATATTGTAATATCAAAAACCTTTTGAAGACTCGATTTTACGCCCAAGGTCCTTCCAAGATTGGTACCGGGAGTGGCAAACCATGGAAGTCGAAAACTTTCTTGGAACTTCCCCAAAAAGATGACTCAGCACATGCGGGGAACCCTGCCCCAACATCATGTTGGGAGGTTCTACATAGATCAGCCTTGATAACAGCCATTTTGAGCTGATATCTCTATGAGAGTAGGCAAGGGCTGTGGAAGGTGTCGTCATCGACATATTCGATGTGTAATTCCTACCGGTGCATCAACGTGCACTCCATGTTTGCGACTTGGTCGGGCGTGTCATCTTGATCCCCGTTTCCAGTTCAAGCCTGTCCACCACGTTTACCAGAAAAATAACGGTGCCACTGCCCGATTCGAACTGGATTGGGATAAAGAACAAGTTTGGGTGGACGTGTCACAACCCGGTAGGAGTCCAGAGCCCATGATTTTGGTCATGTACTGATCTTATTTAGTGACATTCGTCCTTGAGGCGAATGATGAATCGGCTGGAGACGAACATAGTGCTGTAGAACAATACAACACGCCAGCACTAGAATTGGCTGGGGATGAACATGGTGCTTTGGAACAATATACCCCAGCACCAGAGCCAGTATCACCTAGTCGCAGTGGATGGACGCAAGATTTTCACTCGGAGAACACATATCAGGCTCAAGCTCGCAGTCCAGTTTATGAGAATCGACCCAGCCAGGACACTACGAACAGTCCACTCAACCCGCTGTCAGACAATGTATCTGCACTGACACTAAGAGAGGCATCACTGATGCGCCACTTTATCCAGAAAATAGCTCCCTGGGTGAGCTTCAAGCGAGTCCCTTGTTAGCTTTACATATCTGACCTTCATAGGCCGATGTTTGTGACATCCATTCACATTTCAGCACCGAAGTCCCAAGACGGGCATTGGAGAATAACATGGTATTGCAAGCCATCCTAGCTCTGTCTGCGAGACATGATGCCATCTTGGCCAACGATAGTGACTGGGAGGCCTCGGCTTATCATGGTCAATGTTTGAAATTGTTAATCACAGCATTGGATGAAGCTGAGACAAGTTGTGACGAGAACATGCTCATTGCGGTCGTGATTCTTCGTATATGCGAGGAGCTGGAAACTAACACTGACCAACAGTTTCACCTGCTTGGGTCCAATCGTTTGGTGAATCTCATGACCCGCTCAGCGTCCTCTGGCGGGCTGGCGGAGGCAGTCAGCTGGCAGTTCTTGCGACAAGCTATCTATGCATCGGTAGTACAGTATCAACCTTTGCAACTCGACATGCATAATTACGAGCGCTCGTCAATGTTTCACCGCCACGACGACGCGGCTTGCGCAAATAGAATTATCTATCATTGCGCTCGCATCCTACAAGTATGCTGCGATGCGCCCGGACATATTGTGGCAGAGGATACCTGGCGCCAAATATCGGACAGCGTGAACGAGTGGAATCAAGCAAAGTCCACAACCTGGCAACCTATTCGGTACCAAGCACCAAGCGTGGCTCATGGTCGGCCTTTCCCTGTGATATGGATGATATCCCCGCCGGCAGGTATGTCTTCAGTCCCAATGACATGCGACCTAAAGTTACTGACCGCAACCGAAGTGATCGGAATGCAGTATTATTACTCGGCATGTATTTTCCTCACCTTGTCTGAATCTTCATCGCACAATATGAGCGATTACGAAAGGGCCCGTACAAGGCGTGTGCAGGAGGTAGTCAAACCAAAGCTCTGGGAAATTATATTCGAAGGCTGATACAAATCCCAGAAAACGATTGCCGACCATCTTGTCATGGTTATCGGCCTGTCGCTGTCCAACGAAAGCGTAGAGAATGCCTATTTTATGGCATCACATTTATTACATCGCTGTTCGTGTGCGCTCCATATCCCTCGACCCTCTTGCCCGCTGACCTGTCCTTAGTTGGGTACTGTCTTCGGAATGTAGTCGAACAGGAAGGATCATTGCATTTTTTGAGCCGAGTAGAAAAAAAGGTCGGATGGCGCACTTCATGGATAATGCGGGAGCTGGAACGCCAATGGACCGAGTTGGCTGCATTTGACTCGTCGGAACCTGTCCAAGTTATATCTGACGGAAATATTGCTTAGCTCAAGCTTGGAATTGTAAACATTGTCCGAAGCCGAAGGAGAGAAAATATGCGTCTCACCGGACCTTCACTATAAGCCAAGTTATATCCGTTATATCCGTTATCTGTTGACTGGAATCATCACTATCATCATGACAACAGTACCTGACGGCATGTGCGATCTCGATCTCCTGGAGATGACTTTCGATTGTAGAAAAGTTTTTTTTTGATTTTAGCCGGTAAACTATATTAATGAAAACATGAAAACATGAAAACATGAAAACTCATGGTAATGGAAAAGCATGCTTGGGAAGGTGGCGTCTGACACGAGACTAATAATAAGCCTTCATAGGCATTTCTTTCACCCCCTGAGGGTCCTTAGGGTGTCTACATGTATCCCAAGGCTTGCCGGTTCATACGTGGCTCAGATGGTCATGCGGTAGATTCAGAGGAAACTATTTTCCCTCAGCCAGAACAAATCCACTGTATGGTCCAGAGATTTCCGAAGCCAAATTAGACATATGCTATATCACTTTGGGACTACATTGAGCTTGCTTAGGTTGTAGATCCTATAATTCAACGGTGATATTCACGACGATGACTATGGACTCAAAAAGGGAGTTCAGGAAGAACCGAGAAATAACTAGATATCATATTCACGGTGTGAAGCCTATTTGAGTAATTGACACTCTCTTGTATGCCCACATGTTTGATGCGTTGGCTTCTGCGCTTTCGCTTTGGATATAAATATCTCCCTTCACTTTCACTTTCACTTTCCATTTCTCTTCTCTCCCCATCCCCGACCTTTCACTATTCATTATTCACTATTCACTATTCTCTATTCTCTATTCTCTATTCTCTTTCATCTTTCATCTTTCATCTTTCATCTTTTCCTTACAATACCATACACGGTCAGCAATGGAGACTGAACCATGGGAAGTGCTTGTGCACAAGAAGCAACTTGAGGATGCTGCTAAAATACCAACTCAATGGCGAATTCCGGAACAACTGGCCCAGATATCCGAGACATCTGGCATGAATGTGCTAGATGTTCCACGCCAGTCGGGAATCTTGTCAGCAAGACAACTCGAGATAACCGAGAAATATGATGCAACGGATCTGCTCGCCAAGATCCATTGTCAAGAGCTCTCTGCCTATGAGGTCACTGAAGCATTTTGCATTCGTGCTGCGATTGCACAGCAAGTGGTATGTGTTGATATGATTGGCATGACCCTTCAAAAGCCTAGCCATCGTCTTACAACGAACTCACAGACTCGATGCCTCACCGAGACTTTCTTTGATCGTGCCTTGCAGCGCGCAAAGGATTTGGATGAGATATTATCGAAAACAGGGACACCTGTTGGGCCTTTGCATGGGTTGCCCATCAGTTTCAAGGTACGACGACAATTTTGGACAACGAATTTGGGTTTACTGATGTCATACAAAGGATTGTTTCAACATTGATGGTGTTCCGTCCACGATTGGATTTACTTCGTTTATCAAAAATGGCCCTGTGAATTCAACTTCTCCCGCAGTTCAGATTCTGCTCAACCTGGGAGCTATCCCGTATGTGAAGACGAATGTTCCCCAGACGATGATGGTGGGTGCTCTTACGATCCTAAACGTGTCACAATTGCTCAAAGTACTAGGCTGCTGATTCGCACAATTTCGTATTCGGCCGGACCCTCAATCCTCATCGATCGAATCTTACCGCTGGGGGGTCGACTGGGGGAGAAGGGGCACTGATTGCTATGAGGGGATCGGTGCTGGGTGTTGGTACAGACATTGCTGGTTCCATTCGAATCCCGGCTATCTGCAACGGGATCTACGCATTGAGACCTTCTGCGGACCGCATTCCATATGGGGGACAGACTAGCTCTGCTCGTGGAGGCTTGGCTGGGATCAAGGCTTGTGCAGGACCCTTGGCAACATCAGTCAGAGACCTGGAGCTGTTCATGAAACTGGTGACTAATGCAGACCCATGGCAATTTGATTCTTCGGCTTTGTTTTCGCCATGGCGCATCATTTCCCCCAAGTCCTCCCTGCGACTCGGGTTCATCGAGGAGGATCCCCATTTCCCTCTGCATCCACCGGTTTTGCGAACTCTTACAAGGGCAACTGAAAAGCTTCAAGCAGCTGGGAATGAGATCATCCCCCTGAAAACCCTGCTTATTCGAGATGCCTGTGCGCTGGCATTTCGCATGTACTCGATGGATCCAGCTCAGACTCCGTTTAAGCACATTACTGCCAGTGGGGAACCTACCATCCCTGCTTTGGCATCGACATCTCTTCACCATAGCTCCATGCCATATGGGTATGCCCCATTGACACTTGAAGGGTTGTATGACCTCAACGAGGAGCGCAACTACATCAAGGAAGAGTTCCGCAATCTCGTTATGCAGGAAAAAGTCGACGCCATTATCATGCCCGGCTATCAAGGTACCGCTCAGCCTCATGATCTGTTTGGCTTTGTGCCCTACACTGTGCTTTGGAATGTGATGGATGTAAGTTCACGTTCTCTAGTCTCACAGCGCTGAACTAATCTTTTCTGAGTACCCGAGCTGCATCATTCCGCATGGAAAGGCGAACAAGAGCGCCGACAAGACATTCATTCGGAGTGTGAACTACAAACCACCCTGTAAGTGTTATATTTTCCACCCATCACCTATTATGATTAACGAATTTAATGCTGATTTGGAATTTGAGACGTGGCTGATGACATAGAGGGGGCTCCGTGCTGTGTGCAGCTCGTTGGTAGGAACATGCATGACGAGGAATTGGTGAAAGTGGCAGAGCTTGTGTCTAAGACACTGGAGCTTTGAGCCATCGTGGGGCTGATAGAATGGAGGTATTCTAAGAAAGAAGCAAGATTTATGAATTGACGAAATGCATATGCATATGCATTTTGCGGAATTTGCCTTGGAATCTTTGCTCAAAATGCCAAATTGTACTCAATCGCTGGAAAAGGCGACACAAGGGGAGGAGAAACTGAAAAGAAGACCCGACAACGGGCCTCGGGTTAACATATCAAGGTGCCACGCAGAAGAAAGCCAACGGAGAATTCCTCAAAGATCTTGTTCCTTGGCCATAGTACCTTCGGGATATTTGGCCGCGAGAATTGGTTGGAATGCCGTCATTTCAAAACCCCGCAAATCCATTTTCTGCGTCGAGATATTTCCACCAACGGGAGAGATGGCTCTATTCCCCCACATCGGAGTGCTATAAGTTCATATCAAAGAGGTCTTTTGTGCAAATAATTCTGATACCCCATGACTTGACGAGATTACATCCAGGGACACAACAATGGGCATGAGCTTGAAAGCAACCGGAGTGGTTCTCCTCAATATCCTATCTTATGTTCAGGCGTATCCTTCCAGTGCCTTCCAACACTTGCCAAAGTCTCCATTCTTTGTTCTGGCGGGTGACAGCACCACGGCTACTCAATCCTCGAACGGTGGAGGATGGGGAGACGGCTTTCTCAACACAACTCTTTTTAAAGGAGCCTCTGGTCGCAATTTCGGCCACAACGGTGCAACTACTGTTAGCTTTCGAGATGGAGGTGACTGGGATGACGTTTTAACAACCGTGAGACAAGTTCGAGACGACTATCATCCTTTTGTAACAATCCAATTTGGACACAATGACCAAAAGCCAGCTGCGAACATTTCATTGTCACAATACACTAGCAATCTTGAAAGATTTGTGACTGAGGCTACTGATGCTGGGGCTACACCGATTCTCGTCACTCCTCTGTCTCGGCGCAACTACGATAACTCAACAGGGACACCGCGTATCATCATGAGTCTCGCGAATGAGACCATGGCCACCGTCACTGCTGCCCATCGCTCATATGCTGCGTATATTGACCTGAATGAAGCTAGCACCCGGTACCTCAATGCAATCGGGCCAGAAAAGGCTTTTACATACAACCTCAACCCAGCGGACAATACACATTTGAACGTACCAGGGAGTGCTCTGTTTGGGGGAATTGTGGCCGAGCTGATTACCCAGAAATTTGACGCTTTGAAAAAGTTTGGATATATGCGCGTGGATGGTAAACTCAAGAAGGATATTGACCATGGTATTTATTACTGGCCTTAACCCAGCCAAAGATTGTGATTACGGAGAACCACTTGTATACCAAGAATACAAGGCATTATTCCAATATAAAAGGCGCTTTTCTACGCTTGTAAGTCAGGTTGGTTCAATCCTAGACCAAAAGTAGGTGTCTGCTGCCCCATGTCTAGTGATAATGATGCAATAAACACAACACGCGAAATATCATAATAGTAAACTGATCATAAACCTAGATGATGGCTTCCCACCCACCTTCGTGGTCCGATTCACGGGGGTTACTCTTCCCTCGAGCACCATCACACATCACATCTGTCATACGCGTGCTGATTGAGTACCAGACCAGATTCTGAGGCTCATTCGGGACCCGCATTATGTTGGTTTGGCAGTTCCCGTTGCAAGGCTTGTTATACAGATCATTCCAGTACCCGTCGAAGAAAGGCCAGGCAGCTGAGTTGTATAGTGCGATGAGTAAATCCACGTTGCGCTGTGTAGGATAGTAGAGGATAAGATAGCTGAAGGTGGGTGTATTTCTCTCACGTAAAGATGATAATCACCGTATTTTCTAACGTTTCTCAAAGTTTCTGAAAGAAAGAAAGAATCCCCCCGACAACATATGGCTACTTCTCCTCCTCATGAGCATGCTTTTGAAGGAACAAAGCTTTCATCGAAGGATAGGTGCGCACTTCAAGATCATCGGATAAAACAGAAGTTCCTTCCTTGTTACCAAGTTCGTAACGAATTGACTGTGCTGCCTTGTCCTGGGCACGTTTAGCAAACCAAATTGCATGGACCCAGTCAATAGAAACTTCGAAGCCCTCTCCTTGGTCGTGAATCAAAATTGTCGCACCATCTTCACTGTCGAAGCGACGGGCAATGTTGATCCGTTCCTCCTCACCCCATGATCCACCGATCTTGGCATTGAAAATAATTTGACCTTGGGCTCGGCGAATGGAGATATGGAAGATGGTGTCATTCTCTGCATCCATGATTGAAATTTGGGTCATGTCAAGACCATCGTCGGCTTTGACAGGATCCACGCTTGACGACTCGAGAAGAATGACGCTGTCTGCCTTGAGAGTCTGCTGGAATCGAAGACTGCCATGGAGTGGTAGGTTCGCTCTTGGTCGCTTCGGCCTGGTTGGAGTTAGCGATCATGTTGCCATGTCAATCCGTTCATTTGTAGGGTTAGGAGCTTACCGAGGAGCCGGTGGGTCAATCTTCGCCTGCTTCAGCTCTGGATCCAGCGCTCCATCAGCACCGCCAGTGATGGTAGGCTCTTTCTTGAAGTTTTCAAAGGCTGGCGGAATAGCGGGATTGGTGAAGTGCTTGGTGTCATTGCTGCTGCCAATGATTTCTAGCTCCAGCTTCTCAACGTCGTAGCGAGGTAATTCTTTCTCGTTCTGCGAACGGTCAGTGATTTTCATACAAGGATGGTGAGAGTCAATGATTAGGGGTTTCTTGCCTTGAATACCCGCCAATATGCGCGCTTTCTTATATACGCCAGAACCTCGTCGCGAGTCAACGACTTCAGTTTCTGTCCACCCCTGATAAGCTTGTAGAGAACCGGGGTAATTGGGATATAAGCAGTTGACTTGACACGCGACTTTTGTCCCTTTGTGCAGTTCCCGCAGACCGAAGAACCATCTAACTCGGGCTTTTGGCTGAAATTGTACACCTCAGCGATCAAGTCTGTCAGTGGGGTTTGAATGCCGTCCTCTTGGGCGAGATACAATTTGACCCAGAAAGGTTGCCCTCCCAATGCATACCTAGATTATTTAGAATGATTAGCTATCACTTCTTGTTGTGGCCTGTATTTCGTCAATGGAAACTTACTTCAAGAAGCGAACACTGAAGGCGAAGTCGGGGATTTTGAGCCCACCGTCAATTGCCTCAACGCCCTCCGGAGTTGGAGCTTTGGGATCCAATGCCAGATCACGCGACACACCATACAATGTATTAATGATGGTGGTGATATTTTCCTTGAACAGAACTTGGTTGAGTGTTCCGTCCTCCTGATGGTATTTAGTCTCCCATCGTGGCAGTTCTGGATAGGAATAGCCTAGATTGGAGGGAAATCTAATTCCTTCAGGGGTCCAATAATTCCCCTCAGCATCACGCCTAAATGGCTGAAGAGGCGTGTTTCCATTCACGGGGTGCTCTTTGCCGAATGAATCACGGATAGTAGTGTTGTCGGCAGGAATGTTATCCATCCACTTGTCTGGGTTGAGAGCTTGCCAAATTGCAAATAGACGATCGATGTTGCTGCAAGAAATTGTTAATCGGGGCTTCATTTGTAGCTGGCCGAGAAGAATATACTTACCAGTGATGTAAGAAGAACAGCGGATCAAAGGAGGCAACTGGTACATTTCCCATATGTCCTGCAGAACCTGTCCACCCGTGACTTTGAAACAATATTGTTAGTCTTGAAGCGACTGAGAATCCCATACAGCAGATGTTGACATGGAAATTACCCGACACACTCTAGCGGTGAGCAAGTACTTACATATTGTTGTGAATCTATTCGGGCGAATTTCCGGTTAGTTCTTGTGCTGTGATGTATCAAATCAATATACTCACATATTCTATGTTCAAGTCCTCATCAACGTTTTGATCTTTCGAGGTGGGATTTGTGCTTGCAAAGGTAGTATAGTCCATGGGCACAGTAAGCAATCGATAGACCATTTCAGCCGCAGGACCATGGTTTTTGTCATTGTATCCTTCGTGGGAGTTGAAGGCATCTGCCACTTTGCCGTTATTGACTACACCATGTCGCCAGCCCTCACTGTTTGGATTCTGGTCCTCTTTATCCGGCCAACGGCTGGTTCCGACCGCATTTCCGAACTGATTTGAGTTAGCTCGTTTGTTTCCATGTTTCCTAGATCTTACGTATACGTGCATTCTTGTACTCTTCCTGTTCGGTGTCGTTTTCCCACGTGTTTTCAGTACCGACGCCCTCGCTTCGCATCGGCCTGTCTGTGGGCATGCGAAACTGAAACAGGGGATTGTTGATTCGAACCGATCCGCCCTCGGGTCTAGCAACAGTGATGGTAGGGTATTTTGCCAAGTCAGGGACACGGCCGTTTCGTGCCCAGTCCCAGAAGGGAAGACGCCATGACTCGGCCTGTTCATGCCATGAAGCTTGATGGGCCTCCGGAAATCGAGGGATAATCTCCTTAACCATGATGTCATACACGACTTGCTAGAATGGAATCAGTACTACCCAGTTTGTGTCAGGTAAGTGGCCTTCCTACCTCAAAAAGTAGCACATACGGCCGGTGCCAAATTGGGAATATCACATGAGAGTGGAAGCAGTAGCCATTTTTCATGGGCTCTGGGCTAGGATCATCCCATCGTACGAAGGGTTGTCCATGAATACCTAGTCAAATACATGTCAATTACCGTGAACAGAATCTCATAAATTGGAGGCAGAACCTACCAGCCACTTGAAAGTACGAGAGTCTTTCTTTGGGGTCCAACTTCTGGAAATTGTCCAGAGCTAGGATGAAAAGATCAACTTGCTTTTTGTTCGACTTCTTGCCACTCCATTCGTCGATATCCTGCCGGACAAAGACCTTGCGGTTAATGCCATCATCAGGATTAGAATCTTTTGCTGGAAACCGGGCTTGGATCTGGTAGTACTCGTGCGCAGATGATTCAGATGCCATTTTACTTGGTGCTGATATTATTGAAATTGATGAAGCAATACTTCGTTTTGAAGAACTTTTTCTCAATCGCCCGAAGAGGTGCATTCGAACTTACCAGGGAAAGGTTTACTTGGGGGACCGGATTGAGGGGATTGTTTTATATTATTTCTTTCACGCCTTGCGATGGTAGCACATCAGTCAGAGACTACAAAAAAAGCAATTATTGATTGACATTGAATGGGACTTTGGTTCCTTAGCAAATATTGGTACAAATGCTGTCTTGTCACATTTTAATGCAAGGCTCGGATCAGAGCATAGCTCAGCTCACAAATGACAACGCCTTTTGACCCCTCGTGCAGCGCGAGGAAATTATTGGCGACCAAACATTACAGTTATTCGTTTCCAGCCAAAGTTCCCTGATACAGTCAGCTTCACGACTGCCACGTATAGCTATATACAGCTGTGACCTCGACCCAAGAGAGGGGGACTTGGATAGTGTTCAGAGATCACCAGCCAATGCTTGTACGGGATTTTGATTTGGCCTGCATACTGGCTTGGCGATTGGCACAAACTGGGGTTTATTGAATTATCCCAGCTGTCTCAGCTAGCCATAAGTATTGTAATTCAACAACTCAGCTACACCAACTCCTGTCAAACGAGTGGCGACTTTGGGTGGACTCGGTCAATTTTGCTGCGGCATCGTTTGCACCAGCTACTCAATACTGTAACTTGGGTTCTCGAGGCAGATCGGCCAGTTTGCTTTTATGTTTTTCTTTCTGCCTTGCTGGAATATTGGGAGAGTACGGGACAATGGTAACATAAATGTATATATTTAGTTTGGCCAGCCACTTAGTAGGATTGTCATACAACACTCTGTTCTCGCATTGCCCCAATCTCCTTCGGTGAAAATCCCATCCGCTCAAGCATGGAATTTGTATGCCCCCCTAGACTTGGCGGTGATCGTCGAAGTTGAGGCTTTGTCTCGCTAAACTTGACAGGGGTTCCTGAATGATTGCCTGTCAGTGTATGTAGAGCCAGGCCCCGATGAAGAACAAACCTAGTACTCTGATCTACCCTGATACTGATTCTTTGTGAGGAAGACTATAAACCATATCCCTCGCAGCGGTTTGTGGGTGTGAGAACACTTCTTCTATCGTGTTCACGGGTCCATATGGCAATCCACAACCCTCTAAGACAGCCAGCCAGACTTCCGCCGTCTTAGCGTTCAGGATTGGCTCAAGTATCTCTTTTAGTTCGGCCCGATTTTGAACACTAGAGCTGTTGTCAGCAAACCGTGGGTCAGTCGACAACCCCGATAGCTTTATCAAATGGCAAAGGATTTGAAATTGGCGGTTGTTCGTAGCGCCCAGAACCAGGTGGCCGTCCTTTGTCTTGAAAGCTTGATAAGGGACAATACTTGGATGTTCTGTACCCCAACGCTTCGAATGTTCGCCGGCATTCAGCCAGGACATTGCCACATTAGAAAGCAACGATACCTGGCTCTCAAATAAGGATGCATCAATTTTCTGGCCGCGACCTGTATCCCTGCGGGCTAAAAGCGCGGCAAGAATTGCCCCGTGCAGGTACAGACCGGTACTCATATCGGTGAGACCGAGACCAGGTCGTGTTGGGGGCCCATCGCGCTCGCCGGTGACGTGTAGCATGCCTGCTTCGGCTGCGGCAATGGCGCCGTAACCTGCACGATGGGAATATGGACCACTAGCGCCGTATCCTAGTAGGCATTGAAGTCAGGAATACTCCGTGCTTACAGTGTATATGAATCAATGGTAATAGAGCACTGACCAGAGACGCTAGCATGTATGATCAGTGGATTGATTTCTCGTAGTTTTTCATATCCAATACCCATCTTATCCATCTTTCCTGGAACAAAGTTTTCTACTCTGTGAGAAATTTAGTACAGGGGGTTGTTGAATTGAGGTTGAGTGGGATTACTGACACGACGTCGGAATTTTTGACAAGTCGAAAAAGGATCTCCCGGCCTTTGTCTTGTTTGAGATTCAAGGTAATAGACATCTTGTTCCGATTGATCGCACAAAAATAAGCAGACATGTCTTTGCCCGTGGGTTTCCAAATATCTTTCTCTGCTGCCGTTCGCCACAAGCGAGTATCATCCTGTATACCTGGTGAGTATCAAATCTACCCAAATAGAACCAAAGAAAGGAAGCCAAGGACGTACACCCCCTTTAGGATTTTCAACCTTGAGAACCTCGGCTCCATAGTCCGCGAGAATCTGTGTATAGAATGGTCCCTGGGATGTTTCAGGCATTGGTCACTTCTAAACTTGTACGAATATCAGAGAAACTCACTGTAAGAACACGCGTCAGATCAAGAATTCGAATCCCCGACAAGGGTCCATTAGCATGTGCTGAAGCGTGACTGCAACGGAATTGAGAATTCCCCAAATATGATGCTGAATGGATACGATCTTTGCGATGCTCCAACACTTGTGTGGTAGTCCTAACCAAGGGATAGCCTTTGAGAATGGCTCTAGTTGTCGTCATATCTGTTCTTTTTAATGTAGTACTAAGAGTAAAAAATAAAGAAATCTTTTCTTGCAAGTGATGAGCTTACCCGCATATGGTTAACGACGATCTATAAAAATATCCCCGCTTTCAAGGCCATTGAGATGTTCCACGTTGAATAGGGGAGATTGCCGAAATAATATTATAGCAAAGCACCGAAATTCCCCGATGAAAGCCTCGGATTATGACAAAACCCACTGAAAGTGATATCAGGCCTTGCACAGCTCTGGTTTAATTCAAGACTTTGCAAAATCATAACACTCAGTATGATTTTGGGAGACCAAGCACCCGTTCCCCTATGTAGTTCAAAATCATTTCCCTGCTAACAGGTGCAATACGAGGAATAAACACTTCTCGAAGATATCGCTCAACATGATATCCTTTCGCATATCCCATGCCGCCATGTGTGAGTATGGCTCGCTCACAAGCCTCAAAGGCTGCCTCTGCAGCTAGGTATTTTCCAGCGTTGGCATACTCACCACCGGTGTAGCCTTGGTCATAAAGCCGAGCAGCCTGGTAGATCATCATACGCGCCGCCTCCAGTTTTATCCAGCTGTCCGCCAGTGGGTGTTGGATTCCTTGGTTCTGACCGATCGGTCGCCCAAATACATATCGGTCATTGGAATACAAGGCCGCACGACGCAATGCAGCAAATCCTAGCCCGAGAGCCTCTGCGCCAATCAGAATCCTTTCGGCATTCATTCCCTGAAGGATCATTCGAAATCCTTCGTTTTCTTCTCCTACGCGGTCTTCCATTAGGACATGCCAGTTATCGAAGAAAAGGGAGTTGGTGTCAACAGCAGCCCGGCCCATCTTTGGGATTTCAGTAATTTGGACCTGAGGAACTTGTAGATCTGTGTAGAAGAGTGACAGACCCTGTGATGGTCTTTTCACTCGGTCGCGTGGTGTAGTGCGCACAAGAATGAGGATCTTGTCAGCTCGCTGCGCAGTGGAAATCCAGACCTTTTGTCCCGACAGCACATAGCCATCCCCCAACCGGCGTGCGGTTGCCTGCAATCGCAGGGTATCTAAGCCTGTGTTAGGCTCCGTGACTCCAAAGCAGGCTTTGTGGTGACCAGAAATGAGCGGAGTGAGCCACCGCTTTTTCTGCGCCTCTGTCCCAAACTTGGCAACTGGCTCCAGGCCAAAGATATTCATATGGATAGACGAGGCACCCGTCATGCCTCCCCCCGACTCCGCAATAGTCTGCATCATCACTGCTGCTTCTGAAATACCAAGTTCCAAGCCTCCATAGCGCTGTGGCAGGCAGATACCCAACCAACCCTGGCCTGCCAAAGCTTCATAGAGTTCGGTTGGAAATCGATGCGATTCGTCTACCTGGGCCCAATAACTGTCCGGAAAATCCAAACATATTTTGGAAATGGCTTCTCGCACTGTTCGCTGGGACTCGGATAGGTCGGGATCTTGGATTTGCAGAAACTCGGTCGCACGCGCGTGTAATGATTGAACTTGGATGCAGCGTGACACATTTCTCACCTTAAGAGGCAGCAATCGAGGGATTCGTGGAACCTACACGAGATGTTAGAAAGGGATTTGGACCCGGTAAGCCTCCGTACATATGCCAAAACTGCCATGTCGGAAGAATCTACTATAAAACATACTGGGACTAAAATCCGGAATCAACATGTCGGCCTTTTAACAACAAAGCTCATGCGGGGGAGACCGAGGATGTTTAGAAACCACCGAGAAAGAGCGAAGTATCGAGAAAGAGGGGTTCGAAGACGAAAGCATTTTTTGATTCGTATCCAGTGTATATGGAATATCAAGTGCAACCTGACAGTTGCAGTTGCAAATGGAATTGTGAGGATCTCATATATATGTCGACAGTGCCTCGGACCATAAAATACCTGGCCATCCCATATTTACATAGATGTACATGCATATGGGTACTATTTGCCGTTTCACAATCATTAATATTTCGATGATCGAGTCCCTTGACTTCTTCATAGATACTCATGCGGTTGTTAGCCTGCAATAAGTCTTAATCGCGGAGTTGTGAGGAAAGCTTTGGCGATTTAAATAGGCTATATGAGAACCAATACATAGTCAGAATAAGACCAAAAAGACTAAGATGCCATACAGTCGGCTTCATGGCCTTTCCAAAGGGGATGAGGGTGATGAGGGGAAAGGCAAGGTACCTCGGAAGCTCGGCTACTAACAAGTTGTTTATATGGATGTAGCCCGGGAAGGTAAATAATGACCAGGTTCGGTTTCACAACCTTTAGTAGATCTTCATAATTCACCATGGCATCTGAATCTTACGTTTTGGGGGTGGGCATGACCCGGTTCTTGAAGCCGCGTCGCACTCGTGAATGTGAGATTATTCCTTTCCACGTAGTCTCTTGTCGATATACTATATTGCTCACCATGTCTCTGTCCCGACAGATCCAGAACTTGGATATGAGGCAGCAGTCAAAGCTCTAATCGATGCACATATCACATACGATGATGTACAGGCAGGTGTGGCCTGCTATTGTTATGGCGACACGACTTCTGGTCAACGGATCATGTACCAGCTAGGAATGACGGGGATCCCAATCTACAATACAAACAATGCTTGTGCTACTGGATCCACTGGTCTTCATCTTGCACGTACTCTGGTCAAAGGAGACCAGGCAGATTGTGTCCTCGTCGTCGGCTTCGAGCAGATGCGCCCGGGTTCAATCAAGAGTGTATGGGACGATCGGCCCAGTCCGCTGGGTCCATCGACCAAAATGATGGAGAACACATTCGGTAAACACCAAAGCCCTCGAAATGCTCAGTACTTTGGAAATGCCGGACAGGAGTACATGGACAAGTAGGGCGCCCAGAGACTTGGATCTCGACTTGGATCTCGACTTAGTGCTGACCATGCAAACAGATATGGCGCCAAAGCGGAAGATTTCGCTGAAATTGCTCGGGTGTCGCATGAACACTCCCAGCGAAACCCGTACGCCCAGTTCCGAACAGCATACACTCTGGATCAGATTTTGGACCAGAAGACACAGATCTATGGACCCCTAACCAAGCTCCAGTGCTCTCCAACGAGTGATGGTGCCGCAGCGGCCATCATCGTATCCCAACGGTTCTTAGATGCACGACCTCACCTCAAATCCCAGGCTATTCTGATGGCTGGCCAACAGCTGTTGACCGATGGACCAGAGGTATATTCCCGAAGTGCAATAGACCTCGTCGGTTTCAATATGTCGCGCCAAGCTGCCCAGCTAGCTATGGAGGAGGCTGGTGTCGGAGCAAAAGATATCGGGGTTTGTGAGCTGCACGATTGTTTTTCTACAAACGAGCTTCTGTTGCTTGACGCACTTGGGTTTTCGGAGCCAGGAAAAGCCCATGAGATGGTGCGTCGGGGGGACATCACCTATGGAGGTCGCGGCCTAGTTGTCAACCCATCTGGCGGGCTGATCTCAAAGGGTCACCCTCTAGGAGCCACAGGGCTAGCTCAGTGTGCGGAACTCACTTGGCAGCTCCGCGGTTGGGCCAACAATCGTTTGGCCCCTGGCACTGATGTCGCTTTGCAACACAATCTCGGGTTGGGAGGAGCAGTGGTGGTAACTATCTATAAACGAGCCGATGGACAGGTCACCCGCCCTATTTCAGATGACGATGTTAGCAGGGTTTCTGGATTGGGGTACAACCCCGCAGTCGAAGCTCGGTATATCACACCTCAAGACGGTGAACGCGTCCAGAGCAAAACAAAGCATCACGAGTATCCGCTCCAGGAAACGGCCGAGAAGCTCAGAGCGCGCATATAATAAAGACGGATTGTTCAGAGCCCGTGGAAAAATTTGAAGATTTGTCGCTACATTGAGGGAACCAGATAGGACAATTGATAAACTGGACTCTGAAGACACGGAAAGAGAATAAACAAGGAATGAAGAACATGATCGGTTCAAGATGCATCATTCAGCTTGGATCTGAGGAAATCTGTTTGTTAAAATCAAAATGTACCCCATGTTTTCGAATCCAATGGGGAATGATGATGCCGAAGCCGCAGTGGATGAGTGGGTTAAGGGATATCTTCTCTGGAGCCTCAGTCAGCGATGCATGTTCTTTTCCATCAAGCTACCATAATCTACCATACGAGCAAATATTCACTGTAACATAAATCTTGGGATATACACTATAGACTAAGCTTCAAGTATACTCCTTTCCACAATCCCCTCTGAATTCAAACTCCAACCACCTCTGCCAACACCCACCCTTTAAGTACATGAATCATAACACATTTTCTAGATCACAGATTGGCAAATCTGATGCCGGACTTCTGAGCTGTGAAAGTGGAGATCAGATCCATTAGCACTGGCGACAGCACGTCGTATGTCTGCAGTCCGACGGCCTTGAATTTGGCTCTCACTTCATCCATTTCTTTAGGGTGAGAACCCTGCTCAATGATGGATGAGACGAAACCGGCGAATTGTGGTTCCTGCCAGCCCTTTTCATCGGATAACTCCACATGTACAAAGTCGAGACCTTTGAAAGGATGGTCCTTCTCGATCCGCCCGAAAAGGTGCACACCACAGTCCTTGCAGGCATTGCGTTGAATGGTAGCTTCTTTGTCCACAATCGACAGTTTCGAGGCATTCGCTGTCACCGAGACAGCATCCCGAGGTACAACTCCAACAATGGAGAAGAGAGAACCAGATGGCTTCCAACACTTAGAGCAGCCACAGGCGTGGTTGTGGGCAACATTGCTATTCAAGGTGATCTCGACCTGGTCGGAGGCGCAGCGGCAGTGGAGCTTTCCACCAGAGAAACTACTGGAGCCTGGTGTGATGCCATTGTCGATAAGAGGGTGGAGAGAGGGTGCCATGGTGAGGAGTGAGGAATGGAAAATAGGTGGGTAATATTGAGGTTAATGAAAGAGTTTAGAGCACATGTTGACCCCATTTATATATATTTATATGTAATATAAGCTCCAACATCAATCCTCACATCTCCTCACATCTCCTCACGAGGGGTAACCGGGATGTTATTCCTCAGTATATGGACACGGTGGTATAGATTGCTTATAGTGGGGGGGGGGGGGGGTTCGGATCCTGAATGGGGAAATAATTTCCCATCTACTTAATCTCTTGATCTATACCAGAATTTTTTTTTTTTTTTTTTTTTTTTTTTTCCAAGGCGGAGAAGAGAAATTCGTCATGAGGGGTCTATTGAATTCTCCAACTCTTATATTTTGTATACTTTGTATATAGACTGTACTCTGTGATAGCCTATGGAGATGTCGGTTGATGTTGATGTAATATGAGGGCTGACAAAGATGACCTTTCCCCATGGGCCCCACCCATGAACATCCATGGATGGACCTGGGGCTTTGATGAATCGCATCTTTGTTGTACTCTTGAATTCTTGAACTTTTGGCTTCTCGGCTTCTTGACTTTTGACTCTCTGATGGTTGCATATCCTCCTTTGAAACTTATAACTTCTCCATGACCAAACTCCCGGGGACTTCTACCTGTTCTGACGTCATCGATAAGGAAGAAGCCGCGCGAACGGTTCAGGTACAGTTACCATATGAATCCTGGCGTTGTCGATTTTCGCTGACCACCTGGGCATCATTAGCGAATTTATCGTGGTCACCGAACGCGACGAGAGCTGCGCGGACTTGGTTTAGCCGCCTCCACACGATGGATTGAGGTAAGTGTGTATCTTGCGCGAAACCCACCGAATCTAATCTCGTTTTTCCGGCCCCTCTAGGCCTTTCAAGAAGCCCAGTGGCACCACCTTCATCGTCCTCCCGAGCCTCGCGTGGCACCCAGCAATGATGGTTTCAATCAAGCTCGTCGAAACTGGCAACGAGCGGTTAGTGTCGCTAGGCGTGTCGGCGGCGACGATCGTGTTTTGGAAGTTTCGCCATCCATGGGGACTCATTCAGACTACAACACAGAGATCACAGCGGGGGCCCCACCTAAGATGATGGATCTTCAATACTTTCTCGAAATGGTTGATCTGAAACATCGGCATGGAAGCAGTCTGCGCTCGTACCACACGTATTGGCGGAATTCATCATCAAACGAAAACTTCTTCTACTGGTTGGACTATGGCGAGGGGAAAAACATTGAGCTTCCCCAATGTTCGCGCGACAGACTTGAGAAAGAACAAGTCCGCTATCTCACTCGCGAGGAACGTATGGATTACATGGTGACGGTAGACGAGACTGGGCTCTTCCGCTGGGCCAAAAACAATGAACTAGTGTGGACAAATACTGCACGTTTCAAAGATAGTCTCCAAGGGATTGTGGGAATCGAGGATGATGTGCCTCAATTCAGTGGAAACTCCACAATCCTGCAACCAGATTCCACCTGGGACTTAGCACCATCAAGATCATGTTCGTCATATTCATCATCGATATCAACAACATCTGCAAGACACAGCCCTGACGATGTCCTCTCAAATCAAGACCCGAAGCATTTCGCCGATGAGGAGTACAAAGCTGCGAAGATGATGAAAAACGTGGTGCACGCAAGCCCTGCTGCTGCATTTAAGCGACTTTTGGGCAAGTCCTCAGAGAAAGAAGATATGTGGCTATTTGTAAGTTAAGTTTGGGTTTGTGGTTGTTGAATGCATACTGACCCAACCTTAGGTTGCAGATACGTCTTTTCGTTTGTACATTGGCATAAAGAAAGGAGGTGCCTTTCAGCATTCATCTTTTCTTCGAGGCGCCCGTATCGCAGCAGCTGGAATGATCAAGATCAAACACGGCCAACTTCGAAGTCTGGCACCACTCAGGTGCGTTCAATCAAATATTTCATTCATCAGCTTCCATCATTGCTCGAAAGGGCAGGCTAACTTGTTCAGTGGTCATTATCGCCCGCCAGCTGCCAATTTCAGAGCATTCCATCACACCCTACAACAACAAGGTGTTGACATGTCCCATGTTTCGATGAGCAAGTCTTATATCATGCTCGCCGGAATTGAAGGTTATACGAAAACAAAACAAAAGGCGCGTGCTGTACATGAGAAGGTCAACGCAAGCAAAAGTTCTATCATCCACAAAAATGAGTACGGGGGCACATGATTTCTATCCTTTCTATTCCTTCCTATATTTTAGCGCGCCGACTAAGATACCCTAATTATCGTTTTATTTGCTGTCTAATTGCAGGTCATAAAAAAGCCGGATTGTAGACTTCAAGTGTTGTTACTCGAGTTGCACAGCTTCCTGACGCCTGAGTCGCATATGGGTGTAGAGCCCTACGCCTGTATTGCTGTACTGTCAGAGAAAACAGTCGCAGAACTTAGACATGGCGAAGGTACGCAGCAGAATCCTCTGAGATCGTGATCGGAGGGCCCTGCACAGGTGAAGGTGGTCGTGACGAGGCTTCCAAATGAAAATTCAAGGATGATATTTGATGTATGTCTCCGAGTATGAGACTCATATATCTTCCATATCTTCGAATCTGTGAGGATTTCGACTAGAAATAACCATTTAAGATCATTCCAAGCCCCTGGGATGAACTTCTGTACCGCAACGTGGGGCAATCTCATAGAAATGGCCATTCTCCCCATCGCCGTGGCGAAAATGGCCAATTACATCGATATCTGTTGAACTTCGATTTGGATCTATCATTAATAGACCGAGGCTTCACTGGCCTGTATACAACAAGAGGTACATACATGTACGCGTACAATATAAACATAGAATGCGACATGTTCAACCACAGGTTGAATTGTGTGGCGAATAAATATTGTCCCCGGCCTGGACAGGGAAAATTTCCGTGATTTTACATAATCAAAGTGCAACGAGGTCGGAACTCTCAGGCAAAATATCAGAGTTGAAGATCCGAGGACGCATTTGTGAAACTGTGAAATTGTGAACACTTCAACTCTTCAGTCTATATATAAAAGCAATGGGCAAGTCCAAAGCAGCCAAGCGCAAGCGCAACGCACAGGTCGACCTTCCTCAAAAGCTTCCCAAGGCAGTCCCGGATCTAACACCACCTCCCGATGGCGTGCCTCTCGAGTCCACACATCTCAATGCCGTCGTCTCGGACGAGGAACTCGACATCACCATCGAGACGCTCACAGCGCTTGCACAATATCCAAGCCTGACAAAGTCGAAGGCATGCAAGGACCTCCGTGTCGCAATCTATGACTTCCGCCAGACATGCACTACGGGTGTCAACACCGCCGGTATGCCACTTTCTCCCTGCTCCAGGACTCTAACTTATCAGATCATTCGATAGAGGGCGCCAACTTGACAGCCAGAATAACCGGAGCATTGGTGGACGAGAAATACATTGAAGCTAGGATCTTGCTCGCCGAGATGAGGATCCGGGGGGAACAACCCAAGATTGGAGCGTTGTGTCGCTGGGTACGAGATCTGGATGTCGTCAGCGGCCTTTCCACACAGCCCAAAGCACAAGATAATGTCCCCATTAAGCGCAGTGTGAAGGAAATGGAAATTCTCAGTGTCCTTGATGCCATCCTGCGCGTCAGTACCCCGATTGACACCAACACCGACGCCATTGACTCAACCAATCCCATCGCCTTCCAGTCCATCTGGGACCTACGCCCCTCGACAACACCACTACCGGTCTACGCCTCAGTCCTCGACAAATCAATCTTGGATGAGGCGCCCAAGTCTCCATCCGCCCTCCGCGTCATCGAACAAACCCCTGGCCCACTCCGTAAACCTCCAAACCACCATCCCGCCATCCTCTATACCACCGCCCCGAACGCCGTCCCACTGGCTCCGGTCGGTCCTTCTATAACATACCACGCACATCCCGCTGTGCCAGGCCTTGGCCTCGCTCTCAATGTGCTTTCCGCCGCTGAATGCAGGGCGATCATCGCTGCTGGTGAATCTGTCAATTTCCTACCGGACGCGCCCCTTCGCGAAGATGGAGACATAAGTATCCTGGCCCACAACTTTTACTGGATCATCGACACCACATTCCACGACATGCTTTGGGCGCGAATTTCTCCGTATGTGCCGCCCTCGATCAACGGTCGCATGGTCCGAGGCATCAATCGTCGCTTCCGTGTGTACAGGTACGTCCCCGGAGCTGAATATCGCTGCCACATTGACGGGGCCTGGCCACCGTCCGGTATCCTCCCGGATGACACATACGTGTACGACTCTTCGCCCGAGGAAAAGAAGCAGAGCTCGATGTACACCTTCCTACTATATCTCAACGATGAGTTTGAGGGCGGAGAGACGACGTTCTTCATGCCAGCCCCGCGGGAGGGAACCTTGAATGGATACCCCGTGCGACCTGTGATGGGAGCTGTTGCGATATTCCCACATGGGGAGTCGAATGGAGCCTTGCTACATGAAGGTACAGGGGTGAGGAAGGGGGCAAAATATATTATTCGGACTGACGTAGAGTATGATGTGAAGCCTTGCGATGAGTGATGACCAAGACATGGATTATGTAGAATTAACCCTTTGCCATCGAAATGCCATTGAAGAAGGTCACAGTAGTGTTTAATGATGGAATGAGAGCTCTGAAGTGTTAAAGGTATGTCCTTTCTTTTTTTAAAGATCACAATCAAATAGTACGAACTGCTAGAATATGATCGAATACCGTCCCTTTTGCGTCAAAATTTGCTTGAACTCATGACACTGAGTGTCTTTACAGAAGATAGGTAGATGCTGTACCTTGAAATGGCACCCAACGCAGGACGGGGTTCAACTTTGCTTGGCATCTCTATTTCACGCCCTGTTTATACTGTTTGGGGCCCATTGGGCCCCCATAAAACCCCCCGTGAACTTCTACCCTAGCCCCATAGCCCACCGGTGGGCCCGGGTTGGGCCTAGGGCTTTGTGGACTCTGCGGAGGTCTAGTCTTGGGTACTAAATTCTGCAAGACACTATGGGCTGACGGATCGAAGCCAAACCCCTTTTGCGGGAAAGGAAGTGAGTGAATCTACGAAACTCTTCGAATTAGAATGGATCGTTGACGGGGAAAAAAGAAGATCTTGGCTGCAACTGAAGTTAGGGATGTAAGTAACCATACTTGAGCTGAGCCTCACAGGCACACGATCAGATTTGGTTTCATTGAGCTTTTGTTCTCGACTTGAACTGATATATTGAGAACATGGTCGCTTGCGAGAATCGTGCTGTTTTCTTCATCTTGCCTAGAGAGGACTGCTGGGTCTTTTCTGGATGTGAATGCAGTGTCTCCGAATTCTTGTACATCATGTTTTGAGGTTTACGACATAGATGGACAATGGACTATGATGAAGTTGGTCAAAGAAGAAATAGAGTGACTATAACAAAAGAATTAAGAAGAGATCATATTTACAAATTCCGAGGATCGCGAAGGCATTTCCAAGTGATGCTTTTCACGGTCGGACTCTTCGAACATATCTCATGCCTTGAGCTCTTCGCTGAGAATAATGGCACGGGCGGTATTATCGTCGCGATTGGAGTTGGATTTGCTCACCGGTATTGCACGCCTTTGCATAGCGCGAGCTACACTAGGTGGGTCGAAGATAGATTTGGATTGTGCGAAAATCTCGTCGATCTCTTCCAGTGACCGCCCCTTAGTCTCGGGGAAAAGGAAATACACAATGGGCACAATAGCAGCGTTGACAACGGCGAAGATGATATAGTAGCGGCTTCCGATCGTGGAGAAACCAACAGGGGTTACCTGGGCTATCATAAAACTGAAAGCCCACACGGTGGCAGTGGATACCGCGTTCACTGTGGCACGGACCTGCAGAGGTGCCATTTCCGCGGCGTAGAGGAAGGTTAGACCGCAGTAGCCAACTGTGAAGATGAATTGGAAGCAGAATAGGAAGACCACGGCCATGGCGAGTGCTCCAGTGTTATTGGCTGCAGAGGGGGAGGTCGTGCCCGCGAGACCTGCCATACAGATTGCCATCGCTCCGGCACTCCACAACATGAGAGGGCGGCGGCCGAGACGGTCGATAGTGAAATAGGCAATGTACCCACCGAGGGGCTGCATCATTGTCATTGCAGCTGCGAGGATCCGAGAGTCCACAGCATTCATTCCAAGATACTGCTGAAAGATAGTTGTTGCGTAATAGGTGATCAGATTTACACCACACATCTGCTGAAACATCTGGCCCGTGGCAGCGAGGTATGCGCGGTGAAAGAGCCGCTGCTCACCGTTTTTGAACATGTTCTTGAATTTTTGACAATTGGACTTGTATGTGGTAGTTCCTCGTCAACATGGGTTTGAAGCCATATTTTGGCCTACGGGGAAATGCCCTTCTCCGCGCTGCCCTTTTCTTAGTCGTGTGTCCAACCTTTACTTGCTATGGGTACAACATGGGAGTGACCGGTGGTCTCTTAACGCTCGATGCATTCAATTCGCAATTCCCCCGAATAGACACAATTCATACACACGGAGCACAAAACCAAGAGAACTCACAGATGCAGGGTCGGTAGCCATCAGACAAATTGTTACTACTCTCTAATCGAATTTTTCCCCCAACAGGCACTGTCATCGCCCTCTATACCGTCGGAGGTATCTTTGGCGCCTTATCATGCATCTTCCTTGGTGATCTCTGGGGTCGACGTAAGGTGATTTTCATAACCAACTTCGTCAGTATCATCGGCGCCATCCTCATGACAGCATCTTTCGATTTTGCCCAGTTTATCGTCGCGAGGTTGGTCCTTGGTTTGGGCATCGGTGGATATGTGGCGACAGTCCCGGTTTGGCAGTCTGAGATCTCGCCAGCGCACAAGCGGGGATCCAACGTCGTCACCGATGGCATCTTTGTTGGAGTTGGTGTGACTCTGGCCCTGTGGATCGATTTGGGGTTCTATTTCGTCAAAGGCAACTCCGTCTCTTGGCGGTTCCCTCTCGCCTTCCAAATCGTTATGCCGGTCATTACAATGATTTTCATCACAATGCTGCCAGAATCGCCTCGCTGGCTCATTAAGAACGGACAGGTGGAGGAAGGAAGAAAAGTACTCGCGGCATTGCTCGACCTCGACGAGCATTCGGATGATGTCAACGAGAACATCCTCAGCATCGAGACATCTCTTGCCTACTGCCCGGGATCGTGGACGGACAAAACAATAAAGAGGAATCGAAGAACCGAAGCGATGCCAAGAACTCAATTTTTTTTTTATTCCATGGAAGGTCCACGCCAAGTTACCCATCAGCATTTTCATCCCGAGCTCTGGTCTTCATATGTGGGCCCTAATCTATTACTCGGAAAATGCATGGCCATATTTTATTAAAACTTCCTGGAAGGAAACGGGCTTCCGCTCTGTTAGCAACTCAACAGCGTTGCTAATGTTCCCACCGACACCGGTAAGGACGTACCTGGGCATGTTGGTCTTGCGATATAAGACTTTTCAATGCCCGAGATCTTGGAGAGGAAGCTGAGAGTGTAAAGGCATACTGGTTCCAGGTGTAAGACTTGTGAAACGGATAAGGTATGCTTAGTGAGAGGGGAACACAATGTATTGTCTGAAGTGTGGCAAGAGGAATTCACTGCCAGAATAAGACTGTTCCTGATCCCAGACTAATAGGGAAACCATCATGTGGGGGTTGCTGTGCTTATTAATACTAGTCTTGTACCTAGGTACCTAAGTAACAGTGGTGCTATTGTGGACTTCAACCCCCTTTTACGCCTAATACCTCTGTGTACCACCCATGGATTACACCGAGCGTGAGAGATAGATACATACCCACTATGAGTTATAAAACACCCATGAACCAGAGTAAATTTACCACCAATTTCTGGCTAGTATATCTCTTAGACTGTGAAATAGTGCGCTTCTCGCACGTTTGATAGCATACTTTTGGTGCCCTAACTGATAACCACGTGGACTAAGGTTGGCTAGACCAAGGATGGCATGGACAGGTAATCCCCTGTAGTAAAAGCTTTCCCTCGTCGGCTTTTGCAAAACTAGGGGCAGTGCCAGTAGTCTTTGAGGGTGACAGATCTTTCTAGATTTCCCCAAATCAAGCTCTTTATAATCTCTGCCCAGTCGAATTGATCGACCATCTTTGAATGCTGTTCAATAACTAGCCGGTGCTGGGTCAATAGTGGAGCTTTCGGTCCCAGGGGACATTTTTAGTATGAGCCAATAAAATGTGTGATCGCCATGTCAGAGCCAGGGTTTTAGAGACGCCACCCATATAGTTTGATGCAGGAACCTGAAAATTCAATGTCAGCTAGATCTTGGATACTAGAAGACTATTGCGTGTGAGTTTATTAGAATGGGCTCTTTTACAGATAAAAGGTGAGCACGGCTAAGCTAAAGTAATATAACGAATCTAAGGGGTATTTGGATGAACACATGATAGTTAATGAAACAAAATAATTATATAAACCTCTCAAACGGACCGGGCGTGAGGGTCCAACGAAACCCAAGAGGAATGTGATCTTACAGGCGATATTCGGAACCCCCGATCACTTTGATCAGACCTTTCTGGATCGATGACAAAAGCAGCAGTATTGTCGGGGTGCTTCCCACCACAGCGTGAGCCCATGTGAAGATCATCATGTAACTGTTCGACGTCTTGAATAACCGATGGATTTGTGCGGATCACAACAAGGAGACTGTTAAGTACCGTGAACTCTAGCATCAACTTGATGCTGTAGGCCACTGGCTTAAAGGTAGTCTGCACGTCAAAGTGGTTGGTATACTCTGTCGTCAGGAGAGCTGCATCCAACAGAACTGCGAGAGCGTTGACAATAATGAGGTTGACAACAACTCTCTGACCGCCACGGCCCTTCATCGCCAAAACGGGCCTCAGGCTGGTCATGGTTTCCCAGATGTACAAACCACTGATAATCGTCTCTTGGGCGGCAAATCCAGCCAATTGAATACGCTCGTATATATCAAATGGGCCGACAAAGCTTTCGACATCAAGATTCATCCCAAGAAAGAGAACTGTGGTGGGAATATGCAAAGCACAAAAGTTGAAGATGATCATGCACAGCACCCAGCGGGAGTAACGATCATAGTTCGTGATCAGGTGAAGTCGTGAGTACAACACCACAGACTGGCCAGTGACCATGGCATACCAGCTGATGCAGATCAAAACACACATAGGGAAATTGGGGGCGAGAGCGAAGTAGCGAAGGAATGTCGAAAGAGTGTGAAGAAGAATTCCTAAGGTGGCGATCACCATGCTCCAGAAGTAAAGGCCGCGACGGCGTTGGAAGGTGTTGAAAATGGAAACCAGGATTTGGAGGACGTTCCAACATGCCAGGGCGAAGAGGCCTGCAATTACCATTGCAACTGTCCGAGACACCTCGACCGGGCCCGATTCACCTGTCATATTGGTTTCACCGGTCGTAACGGTGAATGGTGAAGATCGAGCCAGCGATGAGTGCAGAAAGATGCTCGAGTTGAGGGTTGAAGATGCTCAGACTGATGAGCTGCACTGTGGGCCGAAGCCGTTCATAGGAAAATGGGCAGGGGGGTTGAACTTGGACTGAATCTCCGATTTTTGAGAAGAATGGGGCCAGGGGCCGGGAGAACGGGGGGAAAGGTCGATCGCTGTTTTGGGTTTGAGGCTAAACCCCAATGGGGGTGATTAGCTTATTGAAAGTTGAGCCACTGACTCCACTCGGGCAGCTATCGTTGGCCAGAACAAGTGCTGATATCATTCTAAGGTTTGTCTCATCCTTTACCCAGGTACCTTCTGCATTTGGCTGCGTTTCATGAAGACTTGCTTTTACTGCATGTCTTCCACGTTTCTTTAAGATGAGAACGCAGTCACCACATCGGAAACACTGTCAAGCTCCAATACTAATGAAAGCCGAGTTAACAGCTGCTGCTACTGATAGTGTGGTGATCGGCACAAAGTCTCCGCTCGCATCTGTAGTACGTGTCACGGACCCTCTGGATTATCTAGGGTGATGACCGTATCGCAAATCGTGAGGGGTTCCATTCACCAGTACCTTTTCAGTCTCATCACGTGCACACTACAGAGGCGGAGCAGGTACCGAAGATGTCACCTTCATCAGAACTAACCTTAGTATCTGGAGTAAAATGCTCGCGGTTTCGAATCAAGTCATATGACTTGCAGCATCAAGGGCCGCCACTGCATGCATTATCGAGGAAGATGATACCCAATAGCGATCCAGGATCGCACTCGGTTGGTTAGCCGATTTCAATCTCATGGAGCTTGTCCGATGGATTATGGTGAACCCCCAACAGGCTCTTTGAGCTCGACAGCGATTATATTATCAATTGGTACCAAAATGCAAAGAGCCCCAAGTCGACCCAATGAGCTGGCTATTGTAGAATCGTTCCTTGTTGTTCAGTGTGTATGTGGGCCAGTGCATATAAAAGCAGCTGTCCAGTCTCGGTTGCAACTTGGTTTTTGACAGTGACACCCTTTGTCGCAATGCCGAAGTTTACCTGGTTTCCCGGCCCTTCCTCATGGGGTGCGCATTCCCAATGGAAATGAGTACTACGTGGTAAAAACCTATCAACTTCATGCGTATGTTACCATCGGTGAGTGGACCCTTTGCGACCATAGGAGCCGTGCGAGGAGGGCATTTTATGGGCTCACGATGTTGTCAAATATTGTACGAATGGAACGGAAGACTCTTCGCCGTCAACAAACATGGTCGACATTCTGAGAATCGCCTATGAAATCCACAATCTAATTGAAGCTGTAGAAATTGGCCTGGTTCTTTGCCTCCCATATATAACCATCCGTTGTAGTCTGCGCCCACTGCCACAAAATTCAATGGAGATAATCCATCCTCTTCTTTTGTCAGAGGAAACCTGTTTATCTGCAACCCCAGCGAAGGGATGGAATTCCCTTCCGTTGGGCGCGAAGTTTAAGTGTGCACCCAAAAGATTGGTCGTCCGAGTTGGAGGAAGGATCCTCCGCTGAGGCGTAATCTTATTCTTACGATACATCATGTACTAAGCAAAATCAGGCGACGAGCACAAAAACAGATTGACCAGAAAATAACTAGATCTGAGCTCGAAATATGTCGAAATAAGAATTGCCATTCAATAGGCCAAGAACGTAGGAACAATTCTGGGTCCTACTCTGGGCCTCCCCTCGCGGAGGCCTAAAAGACCATGCCTAGTTTAGTGAACTGGAGACGATCGAGTCAACAAAACCCCCACAATGGCTTTAGGAGCCTTTCAGCGAGGTTGAGATCGGTTCGGACCGAGAAGTGGCAAGAAGCCGGCCGAGGCTGTACGGTCGTAATAACATCCGCGCTCAGTGGGAACAGGAGTGGAAATCATCCACTGAAAGTGATTATCGGAGGAGAATCGTATGATGTTGTTGTCAAAAAGAGGGTCTCAATTTCTAGCCCACCCGAGGAATATCCAGCACCCACACATGTCTGACTTCAACCATGTTAAGCGAAAAATCCCTTTTTGTTCTACATTCACTGGATATGACGTCACTGAAGAATTACAATTAAACACCGAGTTTTGGACTCGGGACGAATTTTTGAAGGTTATGGCAAAATTCCCTGTCATTCCATCAAGGTATCAAGTTGGCATAATGGGATTATAATATCCATCCCGAGTAAAACCCGACCCAAGGTGAAAAGTCTCCGATAAGCTTGGACTTCGGAGGAATTCCACCGCTTGCGCCATCTCAAATATCTGGTCTAGTGGAGACTTTGCTCGGACGGCACCCCTCTGTGGTTTAGCTTCACATAAAAGTCCCAGGGTTCCACAGAATTTCCAGAAGACGGCCGGATGCCTCGGCAATAGCAGTGATAAGGCTTGATAGCCCACTAGCCGATCTACACAACGTGCTGCAGAATTATACTGAACAACTTTAAAATACATTTGATCATCGTTTGATCCACACCTAGCAGAGACTTCATTGGCACTGTCATGTTGAGACCCGACGGGAAACGGCACAACTCAGAGACCAAACACCGATGAATCCCAGACATGTAAAACTCGGAAGTTGGAGAGGCGATTTGATTTAAAAGGACTGCTAGCTGTCTTGTACTCTTATCCCACACTACACTAATTTGTTTTCCCGCAAAATCACGTCCACACACTGTCGCAATGAGCGTCACTTTTGAGGTTTTCCGCGGCTCCAAGGAGGGAAAGATCGTGGCCGACAAGACCACCCGCACCTTGCAGCCCAACGAGGTCTACATCGAGACAACACACTCCGGTCTCTGCGGCACAGACGAGCATTATCTCTGTTCCGGGATCGCTCTCGGCCATGAGGGTGTCGGTATCGTTCGCCAGCTCGGCCGGGATGTCACCAATGTCCAGGTTGGAGCGCGTGTCGGATACGGATACACACACTACGTGTGTGGAAACTGCGACAAGTGCTTGACGGGTACGAATTCCAACCCCAAAACAAGATCAACAACATGCTAATAGTAACCAGGCTGGGACCAATACTGCGAGAATAAGAAGGAATACGGCTCACACGACCACGACGTGGGCTCGTTTGGCGGCGGCGTCGTTTGGGATGCCGGATGCGTCGTTCCTATTCCGGATGGCTATGACTCCGCCGACGCCGCGCCCTTGATGTGCGCTGGCGCCACCGTCTGGACCTGTCTGACGGAGTACGGTGTCAAGCCGACGGACCGCGTGGCCATCATGGGCATCGGTGGTCTTGGTCACCTGGCCATCAAGCTCGCCTCGGCGATGGGGTGCCACGTCGTTGTTTTGTCCAGCTCGGAGGCGAAGCGCGAGGAGGCCTTCGGATTCGGCGCGTCCGAGTACCATGTATTCCGCAAGGGTGAGGAACTGAAGGACTTCAAGCCTGTGAACCACCTACTGCTCTGCGGCAGCGCCCACGTCGACTATCCTAGCCTCATCCCGCTTATGGATGTACACGGCTCAATCTACCCCCTGACTGTCGACTTTGCTCCCTCGCCTGTTCCCCTTCTGTTCATGAATATTAAGGGTATCCGCATTCAGGGTTCGCTTGTTGCGTCGCGCAAGAGTCTGCGCACATTGGTTGAGTTCGCTGCCGATAAGAAGATTAGCCCGACTACCATGACCTTCCCCTTGACCAAAGATGGTGTCGAGGCTGCTATGCAGACTCTGCGTGATGGAAGGATGAGATACCGTGGTGTTCTAGTTCGGGATTAAACAAGGATGATGACCATCGATAGAAATGCTTTTAATAGTCAGCATGTATTATATTCACATGTTAGCACAAATATCCATAGAAATCGCAAGTCTGAGAATGATATGATTGGATTTTGGTGTAGCGTAGACTTCAGCGCAACCCACTCTAACCCGAACCTAACCCAAAATGGGGTTTGGGTTATGTTGAATACCAAGTCCGAATACATAACATACAACTATCATCACCCACAATACATTATATTGTGCTGCTCCATGATCTCATCTACTCTGTAGACTCTAACACGTCTCATAATGCACATTCTCGTCGACAACAAGTCACCCGCGGGTCACTGCCATGTTTGGCTTCGTATATGTTTATATGTACAACTCGTCAGACTCTCCCTTTTTCAAAATTGCTTCTATGTCAACTGGTATAAGTCCCCTGCTTTGCAAATGTAATCCAGACCTCCTTGATGTTTAGATCAAATCATTAAATGATTGTCTAAATCATCTCGGCTCTCAACTAACATTTCTATGTGTACCTCATAGTATGAATCGATCCTTAAGTAAGAATCCTTTGAAAATCTCGGGATGGATCGTACGGCATCTCCATGGTGCCATTCAACATGGTTGCGGAGTCGAAGTTGGATTGAATAGCCCTTCTTTCATGTTGGCGAGATAGGGACGTAGTCGCCGTCATTCTTCAACGTCGAGGTAATCTGAAGGGAGTTAGCATATGGCCCTGCAAGCTTCTGAGCCCTTACTGTCATGACTTTTACATAACCATCCTTTCTTGGCACACTATCTGGGACGAGAACCATGTGGCCGCGCACTTTGTCTGGGAGAACAGGTGTAGGTATGCCCGAACTGGAGCATTCTGAATTGCTCTTGAATGTGTAAACCCTGCTGTAACATTAGCGGCTATGTAGCGCGCAGTACTTGAGAACCACCCATCGTACCCCGGCTCAGGTTTCGTTGTCTACGAAATAGGGCGCCCGGCGCTATCAATTATGCTAGTGTGAGACCATATGGGAATGGGAGTCCCACAGATTTAACCCGTTAATCAAGTCTTTAATTGTAAAGTAAATACCTTAAATTACGACAACGAAATGTATAATTTATACAATTAGATTTCTAAGTATGTTTGTCATATTTGGAACCCAATTTAGAGCGGTAGACCTAGTACTAGGTTACCCAGTCCGACCTAAACCCATTATAGGGTCAAAAACTTCGACCTAAAACCAACCCAGTCTTCTGGGTCTGGGTTTTTATTAGGTATGATGAAGAAATAGTATCTACTCAATTGGTCCAGCCCCCAAAACATCCGGCACCCCGTCCCCTTCCCCTTCCACCACCTTCGCCCCCACGATCTCGAACGCGGGGACATCTGCAAGCCGTGAAATGACATGATAGAGCGTCGGTAATTGCTGCCAATCCAAAACATCAATTTGTATGCTTGCCTTATCAGTCGTATACACCCTCTGGGGTTTTGGCGTCGGCACTGCTTTGGAGAAGGGGTCGAAGATGGCATATTCTTCGGCAGGAATGTTCTTATTCGCCCGGCCACTCTTGGGCAGGTATTTGTAGGCCAGAATTCCTGCATCGGCCTCTCCACTTAATGCGCCCGTGGTGGTAGATGAGCCCACTTCAACCAGGTCCTCAAGTAAGTTCCCCCAGAGGGCCCCCTCCCACCCGGTGCGGATGCGATAGGACCTGGAGCGACAGTACACATCGACTGAGGTGTAAAGGTTGGGCATGCTAAGTTCCTCCCGGCCTGAAACAATGGGGTTCGTTAAGGACTCGAAAAGGACGGGCAGCTAGGTGCCCCGGATTACTGAGCCATCGTCTGACATACTCAACCCCGTGAATGTACAAGCCAATATGCTTGTATCCTGACCCACATAGCCACTCCATCTTGTTCAGCCTTGTTTGCGAGAAGGATGCGTAAGCAATGGTATCTGGAGGTGTGAACCGCCAGCCTTTGCAACCAGGCGGGAACAGATTCTGCAGGACGGTTCGCGAAGTCTTGAACTTGATTGACTGTCGTAAACGTGGACTTGGTGCCGTCGCGTGGTACACCCAGATGGGTCTGTCGCGGTCCGGGCATTTGGCTGAAGGCGATGGGCATGCGCCAGTAAGGGTTAGAAATCTGATTCCATGTCCACTCACGCAGACATTGGGTCGAATTATCCCACTCGTCATGCCCAAAGTTGAAGTTAGTGAAGCTGTATACTGGAGTCAAATGGGTGAGCCTCATTCATCCGCAGGTCTTCCGCGCAGGGGTAGCTTCAGCTTACTGTCCAGCTGGTTGTCATCTGTACGATCCTCGCCGATGATACGCGAGTATTCTTGGATGTGAGTGACCCGCTCGTGCCGGATGTCATGGTAGAGTTTGAGTCGCTTGGGCACCTCGGCGGTTGATATCCCTGGAGATAGGACTACCGCCAGTGAGATGCCATCCTCGATCACAATCCCGGCGCCCTGACCGTGATGCGGTAGGAAAGGATGGGCCGCGTCCCCAAGCAGAGCCAGATGGTGATGATGCATTGAGAGACGAGGTCCATGTCCAGGAGCTTCCACACCTTCACGCTCTGGGGGTCGACCTTGCCCAGGAATCGAAGAATGGTCGGGTCGAACCCGTCGAAGATCTGTAACATCTTCTCCAGCTTGCCCTGTTGGCCCCAAGAGTCATCGGTATCTGCCGCGGACTTGTTTTCCGGATGGATCGCCACGAAGTTCAAGACGGTATTGTGGGAAGTAGGGTACATTATAATGCGCGCATCGCTGCAATACCAGATGCTAAGCTCGCCCGGGTGCTGGACGAGCTTGGCCGTGACCGGATCATTCATGGCCACCTCCTTAGAGACCATGAATCGAAAGGCGCTCTTGCCCCGGCACTCTGCCCTGACCTGGCCCCCAGGCACCGCATGTCGGGTGACTGAGTGCACCCCGTCAGCACCGAGTACCACGTCACCTTGGAACTTGCTGCCATCGTCTATCGTGATGGTTGCTGTCTATGCGTCGACCCGAGCAACACGAGAACCCGTTCGAAGGGGGATTGCTTTGTGGGTTTTCATGGCAGTCGTCGCGATCCCTTTTAAATTGTTGTGGGGGTCAATACGGTGCGCGAGAAGCCAGGGATGTTGCCACTTCTTATTTGACTCCGTTAGGTCTAACACCCGTTGCAGTTCTCCTGTCGCGCTATAATGGGTGGGCTAGAGACCCAGGTCAGCAGCGCGTCCACAATGTCCCGCTAGCGAGGGAGGGCTTTACTTGTTCCATGGGGTTGGCGCCAAACTGCTCTGCAAAAACCCCCCAAACGCTGGAGGAGGCCATTTGCGTTCGGGGCTAAGTGAGTGGCTGCCCCCATCTCCGTGGCTAGATGCGATTTCTCAAATATTTGAATGTTATGTCCCTGGTCGCACAGTGCAATAGCTGCGGTCAGCCTACCAATACCAGCACCAACGCTCCCCACCATTCCCTCTCAATGAAATACGAGGCGGGTATGTTGTACTGTCGGGACCACATCGGCTGAAGGGGGCCAACCTCACTCGCTCAGAACTCCGAAATCTGCGGAAATTGCTGCCTCGGGTATTTCTCAATTCAGGATTCCAGTGACTTTTGCGAGTCGCGGATCATGTGTTAGTCGCACTTCTTCTTCGTCCTCGGAGATTATCTTTCCCCGAGCTTAGTGTAAAATATTCAATCTAGTAGGACATAATTTATGAATCCCGAAGATTTACCGAGAATGCGTACTACTAAGGTAGTAAAAAGATGCTGAAAGCGTATGGTCTAATGTCTTAATTTAAAAGGCTGGGCTTAATATACATTAGATATGGGTTCTGGAGTTTCAAAATAATCAAGACTCTGGCCGTATTCTCTGATATTACCTAAGTGGAATTTCTGTAGTTTCTACTCAGGACTTGGGAATATCCTAGTCATTAGGTTAAAGACACGAGAACGTCCATGGATGTCACAACTCTGATATACGAATACACAAAGATAAGCTCAAGGCATTCCACTAAACATTCCCGACCAGCATCTGCAAGTCTCTCCTCGCAACATTGATCCAGGCAAACTGATCTTTCAAGTGCAGATGGGCGCAGAGATCCCCGGAGCGCGCGTGGCCTTCAAAGTTCTCTACCCGAGCTGCTCGTCTACAGAGCCGACCGAATTCGCCGCCGGCCACGTCGTTCCTGACTTCTTGGTATGTCACGGTGCGCAGGTACTTGCCTACCCACAGGCCTCCCGTATATCTAGCAGCCTTTCGAGTAGGAAGGACATGGTGGTTCCAATCACCTAGTCAATGTTAGTCAATGCGGAAGTTTAATTGTCACAGGTGTGTCGAGGGACAGACCTTATCACCGTAGGAGACGCAAGTATTTTCACCCAGAAAGAGAGCACCGTAAGCGGTCATGTTGTCTAGCGCGTCGCATGGCCGACGTGTGAAGATCTGCACGTGTTCACTGGCATACTCGTCCCCCAGCTTCCAAGCTTCCTCAACCCAGTCCACGACAATCACTTCTCCGTGTTGTGCCCATGAAACACCGGCCACATCCGCCGTGCTCAAGCCTTTGAGGATCTCATCAATGATGCGGATAGTCTCGTGCGCAACACGTTCGGAAGTGGTAATCACCACTGAGGGCGAGTCTGGTCCATGCTCTGCCTGTGACAGGATATCTGTTGCAACAGTGAATGCATTGGCTGTCTCGTCCGTGATAATAAGGATCTCTGTCGGACCAGCAAATAAGCCAATACCAATCTCACCACATAGCTGGCGCTTGCCTTCTGCGACGAAGGCATTTCCTGGTCCAGCAATAAAGTCGACCTTTCGAATAGATTTCGTGCCTAAGGCCATTGCTGCGACTGCCTGTACACCCTCTAGCAGGTAGATCTCGTCGGCGCCCGCGAGATGCATTGCAGCAACGGTGGCATACGGTACTTTGCCAACAATAGGGGGTGTGCAACGAATAACATGAGGGACACCTGGCCGATGCAAGGAGAGAGTATCGTCCGCCGGGAATATAGCTATTCAATGCTAGATCGATCAAGAAAGTTCATCACTGTTCAAGATCCTCGAAAGGCCTTACGCGCCGACCATGTTGACGGGCAGGTTCTTTTGACCAAGAATAACGCCCTACAATGGTTAGAGAATCCATTCCGCATTCCCGTTGCCTCCCTATCCAAGGAAGGGAACTTACGGGCTGACTTTCAAATTCAAAGTCGCTGAGGGAATCCTTTTGAGCCTGGGCAAAACCACGCACATTATCCTGCACTGTTTTAATATCCTCCATGGTTTGCGCGGGGCACTCCGCAATGGACTCTTCAATGCCTGCTTGGGACAGCTTGAACGAGGCCGGAGACTACTTGTCAAATTTCTCCGAGTACTTGCGCTCAGCGGTGTCGCCGTTAGTGCGCACATCATCAATGACGCTACTAACGATAGAGCCGACGTCCACCTGCGCTGAACTCAGAACGGGGGACTGCTTGGACTTGAGGAATCTGGCGGGCATATTGTGGGTTGATAGTGATTTGACGAGAATCTAAATTGAGCTGTGTCCTTTTGCTTCGACGTAGTACTGATTTTGAGGTTGCGCCGTCTCTTATGAGGAGCAAGATCGTAGAGTAAGTAAGAGATTCCCACCTTGCCGGCGTCAGGTGTAAGGCCGTCCTTCCATTAGCTGCACAAGGATATTTCGTTCCAATGATCGGAACAAAGTCCGTGTTGGTTTGCAGTCATCTATTTGGTAGGTCACATCGGGCTTCTTTGCGATATGAACAACAATCCCTCCTGGGGCTCTATACCCTGTCGCTCCTACTATCGTCGATGAGCCTTTGGAGAATCAGCGAAGGGGTTCTGAATAGCTATTCCCCACCCCATCTAATAATATACTATGGTAGCAAGTAGGGAAGTTGGACACCAATCCCTATATATGACAGTCTAGTAACGTCTCTATTTCACATTGGATCGTTCCTAGATGTTTCATTTCGACGGCTTCACGTCATCAATTCCACCGCCGTAATCCTCCTCCAAAGCGTTTCCATTGATTTCCAGCGGCTTTGCCTTCTGTAGGACATATAGCATGGGTGCTCAAATTGTCGTGCTCGGGTTCTTCCATGCATGGCTGGTCCACGCTGTACCGCGATATCCCCCCGCTTGAGTAGTCGTGTCTCCCCGGAGTCGAGTATCAACTCTACTTCCCCCTTCAAGAAAACCCCGTAGTCTAAACTGATAGTGCGATGCATTGGTGAAATCGATCCGGGTTTCATGTCGACCATACGCAGGACGGTACCGCCGGGGATGGTGATACCAGGCGGATCTTCTAGGTTGGACTTGTAAATGCCGAGGTCCTTGTCATTGCTGAGCTGGACGGGGATTTCATTGGTTGCATATGCTAGGGAGAAGAGGGCTCCGTTGGCCATCTGCTGCCATTCCAGGGCCCCGGGGATCTGATCTTGGAAGCCCGTCACGCCGTTGGCGTCGTGGCTGGTGATGTAGAGGTTAACGGAGCGGAATGCGCTGTCATCTATTTTTCGGGGATGAGCTGTTCGAGTTCCAGAGGAGAATGAAGAGACCAACAGCTCCAAAAGGATATGTGGGCGGTTTCAAATGCTAGCTCGGGTATCAAGCCATTGTTAATGGTAAAACCCCGGGTAGGTGGAGCCGAACGCCCTCCGCATCGGCTCTCCGATGGCCAGGTCACACAGCTAGTTTCTACTTCCTTACTTCCTAGAGACACTTAGGAATGATGGGTTCCACCAGAGTCGCACTCGTCACCGGAGCGTCACGTGGAGTTGGTGCTGCTGTCGCACGCACGCTGGCTGCCCAGGGCAACACACGCATCGTTATTAACTATCATAACAACGTTACGGCTGCTGCCCAGCTGATCGCCGAGATGAGCGAGCTGAGCGAGCTGCGGAGTCAGTATGGTGATGGCACAGTCGGAAATGAGCGGCCGTGGTTCACTGCGGATATAGTCAGTCGGGCGGAAATGACGCAACTCGTACAACAGACTGTGGATGTTGTTGTCTCGAATGTAGGATGGACGCAGATGACGGACGTTATGAACCTGGAAGATGCGGACAATTCGTTCCCATGACGGTGAGTCCTTCATTTGGACCATTTTGGCCCATAAGCTGATGGAGGGAAGGACTGGGGACAGGGGTTTCATGATGAGAAGATCCAGGCCGTGGAGGAGAAGAATGTGCTAAAGCGGCTCGCAACGCCCGAGGTGTGTCGCTTTGGTGAACTATCTATGTAGCTCTGCTAACACGGACATAGGACGTTGCGGAACACGTACAGTTCCTTTCCATGTCTTGGTCAATCACTGGGATAAATGCTGTGATTGATGCTGGGTTTTCGCTCTAGTTATACAACGAAATACTTAGTTTAAGGGACGTGCAACGACTAGACCACGGAATTAGACTCAAATACAAACAGTAAATGTATAACACACTATTATCCACCTACGAGACCTCTCCCTTGATGATTTCTATTAAAATATACTCCCTCCGCTGGAATAGACGATATCAATTGAATGTCCTCTGGTGTCACTCACAGGCAGGTCGACGAGGATGTAGCAGCAGCAGCAAAGGCATTCGCTACCTGGTCCGCTACGAATCCTGTCTTGCACCGTGCCATTTGGGGAATTCTCCCTCACGGCTAGTCTGATATTGATTGACACCGATCAGCAGGACATCAGCTTCGGCATTGATACGGGCTATGGACTGAGAAGGGCAGTTTTTACTGGCGATATCGCGATCTAACCAGCGGATTAACGCTAGGGAAGGAGATAGAAACCAGGTTAGTTCATACCGACATTATGAGTGTGCACGATGATCCCAGTTTCCCTCGAGGCGGCATCAAAGGGCGCGGATGGGGCCAGTTCAATGCTGACATGGGGCTGGACGAATTCCTCCGTACAAATGCCATTTCGTTCAAGGACTAAAATCGTCAGCTAGAGTATTCGGAATATTAGCGGCTATCCCTAAGTGGTCCCGACGACCGGGAAAGGGCGGGGGAGGTCACATGTATATATACAATATATAACCGAATATAGAAGAGAGATTGCCTGGACTGAAGCTGCAGCTGATGTTTATTTTGTTTTCTTCAATCCTTGCACCATGCCAATTACTCCCTGTCAAAATTCCTAATTTTATTTGCGATATCTAGAAGACGGACAGTACCTCGTTCCCATACATCGAGCAGAATGTCACCGTTCGACCCAAGGTGGCCGGTGGCCTCATCTGCTGCAATGTGTATCGATCCGAGACCGACGCTTATGTTCCAGTGATCTTGACATATAGACCCTATGGGAAGGACATTCATTACGAAATGTAGGCGGCTAGAAACTTTCCTAAAAGGTGCTTAAATATCGACCTTAGTTACTGATGTGCTGAACTAGATTGCATCCCTACTCTAACCGTCGCGATCAAACGCAGGACAATGTGGCTAACAGATTCCGCGATGAACGGTACTACATCTCCAAAGAGTACAACATGGGTGATATACAAGTGCCCGTGATTAGCGTTGCTAATTGGGGTGGGATTTGTTTACATCTGCGTGGCAACATTGAGGGCTGGACGTGGGCAGGGTCCCCCCTGAAATACTTGCGCTTCATTACCGGTCGACACAATCTGCCCTTCTACTACCACGCGGAGGCGGTGGTCCAGTGCAGCTTCCTGGATGCTTTCCTCAAAGGTGAGGATCGTGAGGGCTGGAATGGTCCAGGCAAGCTAGCCCCTGTTAGCATTATTCTGCGCGAGGACATTGGCTTCAACGATGCGAAGGCCGAGCAGGCATACCCTCGGCGGAGCGAGAACGAGTAGCCCGTTTCCCGGACGCAGTACACTCCCTTCTTCCCACACCCCGATGGAAGGTAAACCATTGATGAGACCGCAGTCAAGGACTTGCCTGTGACAAAGATCTCTTATTTTGCTCTGGGCACCTTCGACAACCCGCAGCTGCTGAGGTTTGAGACGGAGCCTTTCACGGAACAGACAGAGATTACCGGTCACATTGTAGCACATCTGAATGCTTCGTTCGCCCCGAACCCAGGCAGCGAGATTATCCCCTCCAATATTGATCTCTTCCTCACACTGCGACATATATCTCCAGCTAGTCAGGAGGTCTTTTATACAGGTACTGCTGGCGACCCCGTGCCTCTGACTGAAGGCTGGCTACGTGTTAGTTTACGCAACACTGATCCTGATCACCACAAGCACCGAGTATAGCTACGGCACCGAGACTGAGCACAGACGTGGAGCCAGTTATTGTGGGTGATATATACGTCGTGGACGTTGAGATTTGGCCAACAAACGTCGTGGTGGAACATGGAGACAAAATCGTTTTGGAAGTTGCCTCGGGCGATACGCAGGGATGCGGCATCTTCCAGCATGACTCCCCAATTGATCAGTAAGTGTTCCATCAACCGCGCACGTAAAACAATAACTGAGAATTGGGCAATTGAAATAGGGCAAAGGAGAAGTTTCATGGGCTCAACCACATACATTTCGGATGTCAGTTTCAAAACTACGTCTCTTTGCCTATCATTCCGCCAAAGTGAGCTAGATTCATAGATGTGTATATGTATACATAGCATGTCGGAAACCATATTCTATACAGAAAATGAATTGCATGCCATGATATACTTTCGACTATTAGCTACGCACTTAAAACTCGCCGCCCCACCTGCTGCGAGGGAGAATTCGAGGCAGCCACGTTGGACTCGTATACGTCGTAGTCTGCTGGATATCCCCGAACCCGAAGTCGGGCAGTCCGAATACTGGCAGCAGAAGCGGTAGGGGTGGTAAAGGTTGATGTGGATGAAAGCATGTTGAAAGGCCTGTTTTTCCGTGGTTTATCTGTGTGGTAAAACAGCTAGAAAACGAATGTGATATAACAGACGGAGACGTAGACTCACCCCGGTATCGGGAATGTGGCCCACCTCCCCCTGAAGGAACATCACACCCCACGTCCAAGAACATGGATCGGAGAAGATCAAAGGATTCAAGGCTCGCATCTTTGACCGTGAACGAATTTGCCCATTCGCTCAATCATTGCCTTGGCTTCCTCCCTTCGAGCTATTCCTGAGGCTGTCCTCGATGGCCGCATGCACAACATATTCACTCGTCGAACCCAGCTGGAGGCTCTTCAGCAAACACTGCTTGACAAAGCCGATGCCATTCAGGACGCCATCCTCGCTAGCACTAGCTATGTTGCCTCCGAGGCTGCCGTGGAGTATATCCTGACACTAGACGCCTTAAAGGAGTATCATCAGGCTTTGGACATCGACCGCGCACTCCAGGATGAGTATGCCATTGCAAGGGGGGAGGATGCTGCCGGCCAACGGGACCCCGTGGGAATTGTATACATTGTTCCGACGAGCTATACAGTCTTCTACTCGGTCTTAGTCGCTGTTGCTGGCGCTATTACTGCTGGTGATTGTATCGTTATTGAAGTATGGCACACTCTCCACAGTCAATAAGGTAGATCTAGCTAACACTGGCATCTACAAAGCTGTACAACTCTCTTCAAGCCCTTCCTATGTTGATCAAGAAGCTCCTGGAGTCGTCGCTTGATCGTAGTACTATCGCATTCGTCTCAACTTTAGTAACTGATGAGGATCTCGGACTGTAACATATGCGGCTTCATCAAGACGATCACCTACCCCGTAAGGTAGTGGCTGTTGTGGATCGCACAGCAAACATCAATAACGCAGCTGAGGCATTGTCAATGAATACATCAAGGAGCCGTTTTTGATGGCCTTGGTGTAGGTGAGTGTGCCATTTCTACTAAGCGCGAGTGAAATATAACGAGACGAGGGACGGCAAGGAAAAGAAAAACAAGAGGAAACAGGGGGACTACGGATCGTATCGTCCCTCTTGAACTTTGCTGATGTATTAAGGCACGATTGGAGTGTACGACAACAATGATGATGTGCATTCTGTTGAGGAGATGCAACCTGCAGGCATGCCTTTGAGCCAATGCAAGTAAGTATGCGCCGGTAGCAGGGTTTTATTAGATATACCGAATGGATATTAGATGGTTTTGTAGATACTCGTTACAGTATGACGACCGTACGGGTCAAAAACAATGGTAGTAAGTAGGAATAACAAGGTGACGGTAAGCTGGTGCACGAACAATGTATGGTATAGATGACCAATGGTGACAACTCCAACCAAAATAACAAAACCCGCTATTTCAACAATCTGTGCGGAAATCGATGACTAACTATAATATACACTTTTGTATGGTATGCCTAGCACCCAATGTCACATGATGTTTGCGGTATAATACCTGGTATTTGACAGCTTATTTCGGCTTTCAAAATCACCAAGGTTACCGGTGCACTGCGCACCTACGAAGATCATGCGACAGACTCTGGAGGGACCGTTCAGCGGTCTTTTGCCCCAATTGTGGATCGCCGATGATTGCAGAGAACAGGAGCAAATTTCCAGGCGCTATGATTGTCACTTATGGCACCATGGAGCTTGAGACGGGGAAGGTGTGGAAGCCAGAACTGGATATATTTTGCAAGCACAAGGAAGACTGGTTGGTGACACTAGCAAAGATGGAGAAGTTCTATAAACTTTGATCCTTACTGACTCATATCCCTTTAGACATAGCAGCTAATGGGCTCAGTAAACAAGACTTCATTGTGGAACTTTGGAACGGACCCAGGGGGGCAGTGGGGTCTTTCTGGCGATCGGAGGGTCCTCCCGGGATCGGCGTGTGTCATGCCTCAATAGGGCACGAGGGCGCCATGGACGAATCATGAAGCGGACCGGCGTACAGTCGGCAACCTTTGCGCAAACAATAAAATGTTTACAAATCTCAATCCTTGTCCATCTACCTACGGAATTCTTTGTTGCTAGAAGATATTGACCCGGGCTGACAAATTGGCATCGGAAGAGCTTTCAATATATTTAAGGAGGAATATAGGGTATAGGGATTTTGCACTTATGTCGCGTCTTGCTAGACTTCTTGCTCCCAATCAAGTTATTTTCATTGAACATTATGGCCGACTCTAACTCTACCGATCTCAATGTCCTTCGCGATTCCGAAAAGCTCAGTCTAAGTGACTCATCACCGGCTCCGCAGGAAGTGCGACACATCACTGGCTTCAAGGTGAGTTTTGTTGTTTCGAACCCAGAATTGGAGAATAGAATTGCTGAGAGCATTAGTGGTTCATATTTTTAGCTAGTACGCTGACGGCCATCTTCGTCTACGCCCTGGACAATACAATTGTTGCCAACATTGCTCCTGTACGCGCACCCGATACCTCTTCAATTTAGCCCCCTGCGGATAGAGACTGGACACGTTCTGACGAGTTTTCGTGTTGATGAATAGGAAATTGTCAACCAATTCCACGCGGTCGAAGATTTGCCATGGCTGTCGGTGGGGTAGGTGGCATACAATTTTGGGCATTATATGAAGGTCGCTGGCTGACACGCTCTATAGCTTCGTGATCGGGGGAATGGCAATGATATTGCCATTTGGCAAGCTCTACACGCTTTTCGATGCCAAATGGGTGTTTATAGTATGCACCGTGATATTCATGGCAGGCTCTGCACTCTGTGGCGGGGCGCCCACAATGAATGCCGAGATCGTCGGGCGAGTCATAGCTGGTGCAGGCGGCAACGGAATGTACTTCGGCCTGATGGCTTTGGTTTCCATGAACACCACCAGCCAGGAACGGCCAAAATACCTGAGTTTGAGGTGAATTTACTCTTTATAAGAATTGGGTGATCGTACACTGATAATGAATCCAAGTGGTTTAGTCTGGGGCCTTGGGACGGTCCTAGGTCCTGTTGTCGGCGGCGGCTTTGAGCTATATAATTGGCGCTGGGCATTCTATATCAACCTACTGTTTGGAGCAATTTTGCTTCCAACGTATCTGTTTGTCATCCCATCGAATGACCCGGCACCAGGGACCTCGCGATTGCAGAAATTAGCCAGCTTCGACTGGGTGGGCTCCGTGCTCTGTATCGGAGCAATCGTCACTCTGGTTATGGGCGTCAACTTCGGCGGAACCCTCTATGCATGGAACAGCGGGCAGATAATTGCGTTGTTCGTTGTATCTGGAGTTTTGTGGATTATCTTCGGCCTCCAACAAGGCTTCACTATCGCCACCTCGGTCGAGACACGCATCTTACCAATCCACCTCTTCGCCCAAAAGGAGCCAGTCCTACTCTTTATCTCTTGTGCGACAGTGGGAGCCGTGTGCTACATCAGTGTCTATTATATCCCCATTTATTTCCAGTTCACGCAGGGAGATAACGCGATCAGATCTGCCGTCCGCCTACTCCCGTTCATATTCCTTCTCATCACTACTATCCCGACTAGTGGGGCGATGATGTCCTATTTCGGCTACTATAAGCCCTGGTATATTGGCGGCAGCCTAATTGCCCTGATCCCTGCTGTTTTGATGTGTGAGTGGTGCCCATGATGCGCTTTCCCTATGATCATATGCTAATACCCTAGCTACCAGCTACCATTATACATGTAGACAGCTCAGCAGGAGTGATGTATGGCCTTCAAGTCTTGCTCGGGTTCGGAGCTGGCGCCAACACCCAAGCTTCTTTTGCGGTCATTCAGGCTGTTGTAGCCCCAGCTGATGCGCCTAACGGGCTGAGCCTCATGTTACTGGGTTCGTCACTTTGCTCTCCTTCCAGATCTCCAGCTAATAGATTGTAGCCCAAGTAGGCGGCATGGCACTGGGCGTATCTATTAGCGGCGCTATATTTGTCAATGTCGCGTCGAAAAACCTATATGCCCTGCTTCCAGACTACCCGCAATCCCAAGTCAGCCAGATCGTGTCCGGAACCAGCAGTCAACTGCTCTCGTCTCTGTCCGAAAAGCTGCGTGATCAGGCGCTTGTGATTATTGTCTCCGCATGGCACAACACGTAAGTGTCGTTCGATACTAGTTTTGGTGGATGGGACACTGACTTTTTGTGAAAGTTTCATTTGCGTGTATGTTGCCGCTGCTGTGAGCTTGGTATGCTCGGTCTTCTTATCGGTGAGTGAGAACGGCTACTGGCGTGAAAGTTTGTTTACTAAATCTGATGCGCAGCATAAACGGTGTAACGTCTCCGCCGCCGCGGGTGGTGCGTGAGCTACCCACCTCACCCAGGCCCGAAGTCTTTCAAGGTGGCATTTCATTGTCACGATGCAGGATATTTCAACATATACTCTGTGACTATCTCTAGATTTAAATTACTTTTGGGATCTTGTAAAAAAAATAGGGTTCGATTCTGCAACTATTAATAGAATCTTTCGGTCTACTTCTACAACTCTCCATCTCCACACACATACAGCACTCCATAGCTTCCAATAAATTATATCTCACTGATTCGCAACATGGATGCGGTTAAGAATCAAAGGTTCCCGGGGAAATAGTGAAATTTGGTGCAAAATGCTCAGTTATTGGACAATTCGCCTTGGTGTGAATCAGTATTAAGCCCTCCCAAAACTAGCCTTTTCCTGAGCCGACCCACTACCAATCCTGAATATTTCCACTGCCTGCACTCGCCGATGTTTCATTCGCCCAGTACCTCCCACTGACCTGCCCGATGTCACCAATCGCGAGTCGCAGTGGGATTCTCGCTCCTTCCTCTATCAAAATAGTGAATAATACGTCCACATTTAGAGAAAACCCTTGCACTTACCAACAGACTTGGGTGGCTTACCTGCTTGAGCACCCAGCGTTGTATCCACCCACCCTGGACAGCAGCAGTTAATCAGCAGGTGAGGGTTTTCACGAGCCAGAATCCGTGTTGCGGCGTTCAAAGCGGCTTTGCTTGTAAAGTAGGCTAAGAGGGGCCAGCCCGATGCAGCCGCAGTGTGCTGATCTGGGAAGCGCTAGAGTGAAGTAGTTAGTGGAGAACTGGAAAGAGAGTAAGAAAATAAAAGCACGTACACTGTACTCGTCGACCAGGACGTTTAGCTCGGTGAAGGTGAGGTTTGGTTTCAGAAATCGTGCCTGCAAACGAGGGTGGAAGTGCTTGAGCTGGCTGGCTAGGGAGGAGACATTGACGATGCGGCCATTCTTGCGCATGATTGGTAAGAAGGCTTGGCAGACCTGGTGTGGTTAGTAGGTGTTGACGAGATGAAGAGAAGAAGAGATTCGGTGATCTACATTTAGGGTGCCACGATAGTTAACGTCGAGAGTTTCCTGAAGCTGTGATGCGGTGATGTTCTCCTGAAAATAGTAAATTGCGGCATTGTTGATCAGAATATCGCACCCCTTGTGCTCGTTGGCGACCATCATGCTGAGGGCCGTGATACTAGCCTGGTCGGTGAGGGACAGCTGAGCAGGTCGAACTTGCACGGTTGGCGGGATAGAAAGTCCGGCCAAGTCAATAGAAACCCCTGCACGAGAGGCTGTGTACAGAACCAAAGGGCCTGAAAACTGCTGAATCAGGGCAACGCAGATGGCACGCCCGATGCCACGGTTCTGCAATCATTGTTAGGACCGGCCATCTTCAAGAGGAGTGAACTTACAGCGCCAGTGACTATGGCTACTAGAGGGGAGCTCATGGTTAGGAAGCTAGGAAGATATATTTACTGCGCGGCTATAGTGTGAGGAGGAGGAGAGAAGAGGAGGGAAGAAGAGAGGAGATGGGAGGAGAAAAGAGCGGAGGGAGACGGGATTTACATATAACCAGTTCTCGCAGCATGCTAGTTACCTAATAATTGCATTGACAGCCCCGGGAGGGAGCCCAGGTGGGCGGGGCACCTACTAGACAGGGATCCCGGCTCGCGTACTTGAACGAAGGAATGTTGTATTTCTTTTTAATGCCGAAAAGATTCTGTGAATAGGTTATACTAAAAGTCCTCCAGCTACATACAGGGTGAATCTTGCTATGTGTGGCTCTGGACTGAGACTTTATAATGCTTCTATTGCTGAGAACAGAAGTAGTTGGCATTTGACACCCATGACCGTTACGTACGGAGGCTAATATTCCTCAGCTAGTCTGACTAAGCACCCAATTAACACCTTCCACGACATTCTGATGGAAATTCTCTGAGCTATGCAGTTGTGGGAACAGCCAGAAGTAATGGGGCGTGCCTGGATAAGTATGAAACATGTTTCGAATCCTGTATAGTGTTAGTAACATCCAGATACGCGGTCAGTTCTCAAATTACCCGAATTTATCTAGCTGATACTTGAAGATAGTTGAATCATCTCGAACTAGATCTGCCTCGCAGATAGCCTGGTATACTGGGGGAGGACGAGAGATCCCAGGATGAAGGCATGGGAAGGCGTATGGATTGGCCCGCTGGTTGGTGCCACCATTGTGGCCTTAAAGCATGAAACTTGGTCAGCAGGAAAAGAAAACCACAATAAAGATAAAACCACCAAATAATGAGGCGAGGGACATACCTTAAAAGATCATCATACTCTCGCCGTCCTGCAATGGAGAACCAGTCCAGTTCTCCTCATAGGCCTTGAAAATAGCCTTGTATTTATCGGGAACAGACTCTGGATGAAGAAGAGCAGGGCACAGGAGCACAATTCCTAACACCATTTGGCCTAAGTTCTCATCAATGAGCTTCCAGGCTACGCCCACGGCCGCGCCGCCCCCAAGCGAAGATCTAATGGGAAAAAAGCGACCGGTATCGCCCCCAAGCTTGGAGGCATTGTGGTGTCACTGTGGATGAGATTAAAAAAAATCCGAAGACATCCTTGAATAGCACGTACCCATTTATAGACGTCGAAGCAGTCATTAACTTGCGTCGGAACGAGATACACTGGCACAAGCCGGAAGTCTACCTAGGCCACTATGACATTTGCATGTCGAGCAATATACCGACACATTCCTGTCCGCTGTTAACGATGATAACACATAAGACATCAAAAATACGCACGATCTGCACTTCGCATCGTCACAATCTCGGCCGCAGCCATCCATCTGCACCTCAAGTCAAAAATGCTCCTAACAGAGCAAAAAGGTTACAGGACTTACATCTCTCCGTGTGTCTGCACCGCTCGAGTCAAAAGTTTGTCCTCCTCTTCCGTCCAATACCCTTTATTAAACTCCCCTGACAGGGCATTATACCACCGCTTCCGGCAATCTTTATTCGTTCGACCACTAATTTCGTTTGCAACGACTGTCCAATCTCTTAATTTGCCTTCGGCTACTGTACTCCAGAGGACCGTATCAGTAACTATAAGCTTGGCTGAGTCCTACTTACGCTGAAGATTGACCTCTCGAGATACAATGTCGTCTTCCTCTTGTGTCCACTTGCGCGCGGCTCAAGGCATTTTCAAGGAGGCAGATCGATAGTGTTATGGATGAGGCCAGTAGGACTACTTGTAAATGTAGGGATGCACTGAAAATCTCTGAATTGCGCCAAGGAAAGGAAGAGAACTTTCTAGTGTGCGGTGAGACTAACTGTACTGGGAGCAAACAGATGAGGTCACGTGACCTGACCTCCAACAGGTAGGGAACTACCACCCACGACGATGCGGCATGTAAAGAGGAAGAAAATGTACTTTTGAATGGTAGCTAGGATCGGGAGGAAGGGGGGGGGGGGGGGGCAAATTGTGACTGATACTACAACAGAATCCTTCAGCCACTTCCCTTCGGTATTACAGACTTCGAGTCATGGCATACAAAGGATAAACAGTAATGATGTATATAACGTATTTCCCGGTTGAGCTGCGTAGTTCGGAACACACAGTAAATGCAATTAATTACAACCTGATATCTCAACAACCACGATTTTATTTTATTTGATTGTGAGCCGATAGCGGTTGATAAGACTTGTTAATACGATGCATCAATATTGGGGAAAGTACAAGGCTGCATTGCATAATCATAATTTAAAATTACCCAAAATTACCAAAATTACGTTGCTAGAAATATATATTTATCAAGTTGTAATTTATCGCATTTCCAACTGTGTTCCGGATTACGCTCCCCCCCGCGGGAAATACGTTATCTTCCCTACCCAAACTACATTCAAGTGTTGTTGATTCAGGACCTCGGGTATTTGAGGGTGGATGTATAGTTCGGCCTTCCAGTTCCAAGTTGACATCAGGCGAGACTTGGCGGCCCACCATTTCTCAGGGAAAAATAACGAAGAAACCGTACATACTTTGTTGTCCCCTACATATTGACAACACTTGTTCATTACACTTGAAGACTTGAGGCCTTAGGGACCTCCATTTTTGGGCCTAAGAAGGCCAGGACTTACCCTATCTACTAATCTGAGTGCCAGGGGCTGTGTCTGTTATGTTGATTTTATCCCCCCGTGGCCGACCACGGAGTACCAATTGGCGCTGCATCATGGAGTAGTGAGACATATCACGCCAAGGTTAGTACGTCCGTTAGCCCAATCATAAACGCAGAGATTGACAATGAGCAGGATGTGGACGTGATTTGTGATATGCTGGGAAAGGAGCCGGTCAAGATCCCAGAATCGCTATGGGATTTACTCCAATCAAACTCTATAATCAGTTGGAGACATTTTATCTTACCGTTTTTTAGGCTGCTAAGATCCAGATTTCGGATTCACGACGGCCTCCGAACTACCCCTAGCATGTCTAACTAGCCCATTTCTGCAACTCTTAATTTTCAATGATCGTGACAACAAAGTAGATCGCCCCAAATCACCGAGATTTTGGTATATAAACACAGATAAAATCTCAGCGTTCAAGGTTGATCCGATCCATAATTTGACGTAGTGGGTCCCTTTTAGAAGCACGATCAACGAGAGTTTAAAAGCTTTCGGTTAATAGTATCCTCGGCCGTCCCAGCCGATCCCGGCCGATCTTGGGTCCCCTACATAGCTTTGTATCTTTGTGTTGGGTCCAGTGGTCACGTGACACGTCACGTGATACTATGTGCCGCAAGACCTCCATGATTGCTATCTTCCATCATCCCCTGCTCTCTCTTTTCCCCTTAGTCAGTCATCATCAACCAATAGAATCCATCATTGGTAGTTGCATCTCCATCATTGTAGCCTGTCCTATTGTATATCCGCATTCACCCGGTTTTTTTTTTTGATTTGTTAGGACATCGCCTCTTACCGCCCTACCCTTCAGTCTATTCAGCCCATTCACCTAAATACCCTAAACACCACTATTCTACTCCTAAATTCTATAGCAAACAATCCTCTTTCCTAATTAGGCTTAGTAGTAATCTGTAGAACAAAAGAAAAAGCAAATGGATGTAAAGCAAATATACATATGACAAAAGTATATGATTAGATCTCTGCATAGCCCATCAATGGGCCCAGACCCCCGGCCCAAAGCCCGGCCCAACCCACAGCCTATTAATAGGGGCCTATCAAAGCCCATTTCTATGCACAAATACAGTCTTAGTATAGTTACATAAAGTAGATGATTAATAACTATATTTTATGTAGGTACCAACCTATATCTTTAGTATTATTATATTATCATAGTAAGAAGTAGGAATTAAGTGGATTTTATACTGATTTTAGCATCATAATACTGGATTTCATACAAAATTCCATATAAAATAACCCTAAAAAGATCCAATTTGAGCATAAATTCGTACCTAAAAAGAATTACTAAGTATTAGTATAAAGAGATATATATTATCTATAGAGGATTAATACTACTTTCTATAGTCAATTGTAGTAATACTTATAGTACCTCTACTTACTATATAAACCCCTAATAAAAATAAGTACCTCTTATAAAAAAGTAAAGCGTTATAAAAATCAATTTTGATTCTTGTTTTTCGGCCTCCTAGTATCTATTACTTAAAATCTTACAAATAAAATAAAATCAGTCAGTAGTAATTTCAATACCCCTAAAAAACAGGAAAGAAATACATCAATTATATAGCTACGATAAATTGGCATATTTGTATTGTTTGGTTAATAATAGGGGCCTATTATAGGCCCCAATGGGCCCTATAGGCTCGGTAGATGGGCCCATAGCCGGCCGATGGGCTCGAAGGGTGGGGCCCACAGCCCAACCCATTAGTGGGTTGGGTTGAGTTGGGTTGGGCTATGGGCTTTATGGGCTATGCAGAGGTCTATAGATCGTGATACTTATAACATCTTTATTCACCCTTCTTATATATTTTAACACGAGGAACACGCCTTTATCATAAGGATACGATTTTTCATTAAATGCCAGCTTGTTATGTGAGTAGCTGTTAGAATAAGCTAATAGTGATAGACGGAAAATGGTGGGATAGATTTGAAGTAATTGAACCCCCTAATTGGGAATATTATATAAGCTCATTGGCTGCACGTAGGCGCTCTGGGCTAGTCGCTTACCTTCCCGTGGCGAAATCTAAGCACAGCTTCGCTGGTCTAATCACACGAAACGTGCCTCTGTGTCTTGAAGTGGATACTCCACTATGGTCATCCGTCACGCACGAATTGATGCCCGTACCTCACAGGTTTTGGTACACCTCTAGGACGTGCTGCACAATCTGAGAGCAGCATAACTGATGTGGCAACAGAAGAAGCTTCGACATGACAGTCGTGGAAGAACTTTCGGATGTTCACCTCATAACGTAAGTGAGATTGCCTCTCCTGCTGCCTTAATTGCTCGCGTAGGCCCTGGGTTTGTTCAGATACAAGCTGCTCGTTTCGAATGACAAGCTGCTTGTTTTGAATTTCTAGCTGCTTGTTTTGGAATACAAGCTACCTAAGAAATGCCGTTCTATCTAAGAGATGCCCCCCTATTGAGGGGAAGTGCCGCCCTAACTCGCTCTTCCAAAACAGGAACCGAGGGCACCTCTGAGACGATACACTTCTGTATTTAATACCAATCCGTTCTTTCTCGGATATCCTTACACCAGCCAAACATTATCAGAATGACGAGAGAATGTTGACGCCGTAATACCATCCCAAGATCTACGACAACGATCTTGTCTTTCATCAGCAGTGACCCTTTCTGTCAAATTATCGTATCGAAGAAAGCCAAATTTGAACTATTTATGACTGTGCTGGACGGGCAAGGACTAGCTATTGGCAAACTAGTAGAAGGGAAAGACTACGAGGGCAACACAACCAGCATCAAGATGACACAAGCAGCAATGTACGCGCTCTCGCCCCCGAACCTGCCCTAGCTGCCACCAACCCCAAGGTGCTACCGCGGGACATGCATGGCTGCAAGTAGTATTTGTCTCTGATTTTTACCTGTGCTTCTACCTTCCCATACGCTCTTCTACAATTGTGGTAGCTGATCAACAGATCCCTTTGCAAGAGGTAGGTGGCATTGAGAAGCTATCGTACTCAAGCGTTGAATATCACTAATTGCGACAGCTAACAATGTTTGTGAAAGAGAGTAGGGGAGGGAACGAGACAGGACGGGTCTTCATATTGATTAATTCGAGAATCGAAGAGCTGTCAATGAATACATATAAGAAGCTATTGACCACGTGCAAGTGGGAATCCACCAAATTATCTATACCACACCTGGTCTTAACATAGTAAACAGCCAATCCACTCTTCTATTTACCAAGGATCCGGAAAGATCTTCATTCTGATCAATTGCTTTCATCATTCTGCTGGTCTAAGTCCATTTCTTGACGCTTGATGGCACGGCATGGTACCCATCAAAGAAGCCATAGGGATCATAAGCGTTCTTTAACTTTGTAAGCCGCTCATGACGCCACGGCTGATATCCGTAAACCGCTGACAGCGGTTCATCGTCGTGAGCGTAGTTCTGATAAACGTGGAGCATGTCATATCCAGAGGTAGCGGCGAATTTGTCTCGCCAAGAGCGGAGAAAATCATCGACTGGCTTTGCTACGCTATCATCCGTGTATACTCCAATGACTTCGATGATATTGTGAAAGTGCTTGCGGTGAGGGAAGGCGGAATAGTCGTCGCTGAGTGCCTCAATGCCCTGGACTGGGAAAGTCTCGATCATCATGGAGGAGCCGTTGGCCGCGGGGTGCTGCTGCATAAACTTTTCAAACTCGTTGCCAAATTTGACCCATGTTGGCGGGTTGAGCGTCCTCGCGTTTACACTGTATAGATCGTATCGCGGGCCAGACGCGCAGGAATAAGGAATGAGACCGAAAACAGTTTTGGTGGGTAGCTCTTCCCACTTCAGCATGTGCTCTTCAAGGCTCAAGCTGTAAGGCGAAAAGAGCTTGGTATACTTCTGTCCCACTTCCTTAGGTCCAGAATACACGACGTTGACAATCATTGTGAGCTGAGATGATCAGCAATGAACAGTAAGGTCAGCGGTTTTACTTACCTCAGATGTCGTGGCATTTGACGATAAGAAAGTAACAAGTCCCAGTTTATCATCCAATGCTGGTGTTGTTAGCTTGTTGACAATCTTCATGACTTTCTCGATTGAGTTCTTGGCAAAAGTCATGTCTGCACTATAGTGGAAGCCTCCGTGGGTCGCTGGCCAAGTCTCGTATGTTGACTCAAAGACGATGCCATAGTTCTGACCAGAGCCTCGAATTCCCCAGAAAAGATCCTGATTCTGGTTTTCGGACGCTTCAATGATAGTACCATTCCACAGCGCCAAGCGGACTTTCCGGAGCGCGTCGCTGGTCAGACCGTGCAAGCCTTGGAGACGGCCCAAGCCTCCGCCGAGCATGGCGCCTGTTGATCCGACGCAGGGACATGAGCCCACAGCTGTGATTCTGTTAGCATGGACATGAGATAAGTTAGTGCTAATTGAGGCGACATACTCAGCTCTCTTCCGGCAGCACCCACGGCGTCGATCAAGTCCCTAAAATACGCGCCCGTACCAACAACGACTGTGCCATCAGGCTGGACCTTGACATGATTGAAATTCTCTAGGTTGACCAAGACACCATCCTGAATTGACTGGAGGGTCGGAGAATACCCATGTCCTCCCGACCTGGCGAGCCACGACATGTTCTTGCTCGACATGAACTCGAGCTATATACTGCCCCATTAGTTTCCATGATACCTACAGGAAGTTTTTTAAAAAAATAACTTACACCCAATGAGAGATCATTTTCGTTCTCAGGGAGGAATACTTCGTCAAACGTCGGCGCCTTGTATGACGACCACCGCTCCGTTTTGTTTGCAAACTCGGGCCACGATGTGCCGTAGATCTGGCCATTTAATGTCGACGGCCATACTGGGCCGTTATATGAAGAGGTATCCGCTCGACTCAGGTGCTTAGTCGACAAAGGCGTGCTCGACACAGTCTGGATGGCAGCCAGTAGCACCCACAAGGCCCGCGGAACCCCAAAACGGGCCATGATTGCGGTCAGAGAGTAACTCAGAAAGATGTATCTAGTAAATCAAGCTTTGAGAGACACTGTGAATAAGAAACCTACGATATAGGATGGTCGCCGGATTTTATAGTAAATCCCTTGCACCGTGCACGACCCTTTGGCCATTTCATGCTTCTAAGCCACCAGCGCTGACAATGATCTTTTTTGTGGATAGTTGGTTAATGAATGACCGAGAGCTAAGCCAATAGTTCGCTTCGGCTGTTCAGTTGGAAATAGAACCAGGATGCTGGGTCCTCGTGACGGCTTGCCGTTCCACCGAGGCTCCTGCAAGGTGGAACCCTCCTGCATTCCTGTTGGAGGACCTGCAGGGAGTACTTAGTAATTTGTAGGGGCGATAAAATGGAAATAGCAGGTCTGCCTCGCCCGCCTAGAACGTCGTCTCCGTGAATCCTGTCGCGTGGTGACGATGACTCGGGTCCGGCATGGAGGCGCGAACTCGGGCCTTCAACGTGAGATGAGGATGTGGATAAGCACCATGTAGTCCGGAGGTGCTCGGAAAATTAGAATGCTCTGAAGAATGTCCGTGTTGTAAGCGAAAAGCACCTTGCCATATAGAAAAGCCGAATGAGCATACACGGTTCGAAATTTGTCCGCTGAGGTGCAACAACAGTCAATCTTTTGAGGCCCAAATACTCCAATTCTCAGTCTCATTCAGATTACAAAAGCCGCGAACGAAACAGGAAGATGAATCCCAGAACAATCTCAGCACCTTGCGCTGGCAAGACAGTCGTTATTACGGGCGCGGCTGAAGACCTTAGCCAAGCCGCCGCCGTCGCTTTTGCTACTGCAGGAGTTAAGCGCATTGCCATGGTGAACAGCTCAGGTACTTCAGATGCAATTGAAAAAGCTTCCCAGGATGCTGCAGAAGCTGGACGACTGGCCCCTGAGCTGTTTTTCTTTCATCTCATAATTGGTGAGCCTGCTAGTATCGACACTGAGCTTCCCGAGATCCACTCGAGACTGGGACATGTCGACATTCTCACTAACGCGACAGAACATATCTCTCTATTTAATATACAGCGAGGAACTATAGCAGCAAGTGACATTTGCTCGTGGGAGGTCTTGGAGGCCAGCGTCGAAGATTCATTCGTTGTCGCTCGCATTCTGCTGCCGCTCCTGCTGAAGGGAACCGAAAAGACGTTTGTCAATCTCATTTCAGCCAGATCGCCTTTGCCCCAACCCACTTCCGGAACGCATGGTTTGTCTGAATTTGCTATGATACATCTCTCTGAATGCTTGATGCTCGATTACGGGAACAAGGGACTGCTGGCATATTCGCTGCAGCCAGGTCACTATAAGGCCGAAGACATGGTGAATCTGAGTAAGGGAAATAAGATCCAGGGCAGAAGAATGATGGTTGACGGGAGGTTGACTACCTAGAACTGGCATGCGAAGTCCTCGTCTACCTGCCTAGCGAACAGCGCGAATGGCTGGGTGGTAGACACTTAAAATGCGAGGATATGTGTGATGTGATTTCTCGCGATGACTGGGATGCGCAGAATGACTTGCTAAAGATAGGCACATCCGTGAAGAGGATTCCCGCGGCGCCTGAGAAGAGGAGGGCTGAGAAGAGGAGGGGGCGCGTGCCTAGAAGTAGCTACTGATGATGATACAGCCATGTATGCGATGGTTAGAATGTTACTATATTTCTACAGGAATGAGGATTATGAAGATTTCTTGCCAAATAACGTAATGACACAATCGACTTGGCAAAATACCTAACGTATTTCACAAGCGAGTGGCCACCACAAGCGAGCGGCCACCTCGAAAACACATAGTAGATGCGATAGATTACAACTTGATATCCTAACAACGGTGGTCTATATAGGTATTTCCTTATATACTTATGCTTTTTAAGCGATATTTAGTATCTTTACGGAATTTTAGGAATATATATGACTTGGTGATTAAGATATATATATTTCTAGCTTTTTATAACGTAATTTTCGGTATTTTTTGAAATAGGGATAATATAGCCTTCTGCTTTCTTTAAAATTGATATAAAGTATTAATAAGTCTAAGGAGGGGATAAAATAATAACATGATTGTTAAAATATAAATGTAGAATAAATCATATCTGCTACGTGTTTTCGAGATGGCCGCTCGCCTGTGGTAGCCACTCGCTTGTGAAATACGTTATCTTGCATGCTTCCAAATTCAAGCTCATGGGCCATATTGTATCGGGCGATGCTGAAAGCAAAGCCAAGAGGGCCCGAGTTACATGTACCTGGGCGGGGCCATCCCAAAAGGGCAAACAATATCTGATTGGCAAGACGGGAAACAGTGGGCCTTGTGGCAGATTTACTAGTTGTTGATTGGTGAAAATGGTGCCCATAAGTGTATCTTGGTGTTCCTTAGCCGTGGAGCTATCCGAAAGAAGACACCAATATCAGATTGGCTAAACACGAGTAAGCGGACCCTCTTGGGGGTAATCAGCCGTAAAGTTCGCGCCGTGGGGACCCGCTAGTCTAAAAGAAGACGCCAATATTAGATTGGCCAGAGCACATACAAAGGGTCCCGGATTGTGGTGACATCGCTCGAAGAGACTATATAAAGAAAATCGGAGGTCATCCCTTCCCCTTCTTACATCGTGTCCTCAAGTACACCCGCTTCGTCCATTTCCAGCTGTTCTATACGAAGCTCGCATACGGTGCCCATACCCCTACCTACACCACCCAAACCACACCATACAGCAAACCCTTAGCGAGGACGCATATCAACCCCGGTTTTCAAGATGGTGATGCTCCGCTTGACTGCCGAGCAGTACCGGACCCTGCCGATACTGGTAGGTGAGAATACATGCATCGGCAAAACCTATGTCATCACGGGTGGCAACGGCGGCCTGGGCCTCGAGACGGCGCGACACCTGGTCGCGGCGTCAGCTGAATGCGTTGTGCTGGCTGTGCGGAACCTCAAGGCTGGAGAAGCTGCCAAAAGTGACATTGAGAAGACGACTGGCCGCAAGGGGGTTGTGCGGGTATGTCTAGTGCAAGATCTTGAGCACTATTCTCCATATATTGACATCGACAAAGGTACGACATGTAGACATGTCAACCTACGCGTCTGTCCAGAACTTCGTAAAGAAATTAGCAGAGGACTTCGACAGGATTGATGGTTTCATTTGCAACGCCGGGATCATGATCGACGCGTGGTCGCAGTCCGAGGGCATAGAGACGAGCATATTTGTCAATGTTATCAACACTGTGTTCCTCGGTGCTCTCATGATTCCCAAACTCAAAGAGTGTGCCAGGAAGTTCAACATCAAGCCCACTCTCGTTTTCATCGTCAGTGTTCTCGGGTACACTGTCAAGAGCGAGATGGATAAGAGCCGCAATGGTGTCATCCTCGACGGGCTTAACGACCAGAAGCGGGCCAACATGGACTCAAGGTGAGGTTTAAACTTCCGTCCCATATTTTTGCTTTTCCAATTAACATATGTTCAAAGATATGCTCTCAGTAAGCTCGTCGAAGAGTGCGCCGTACGCCAGTTCGCAGCTCTGTGCCCTGTCGAACGCACAGGGGTCATCATCACTATGGTCGCCCCAGGTCTCTGCACCACCGGCCTAGGTCGCGATGCCCGAACCTTCACCAAAATTCTGCATGAGGCGGTCCGGGCCATGATGGCCCGAACCGCAGAGGTCGGTAGCCGCACCTTCCTACACGGGCTAGTGGTGGGCGAAGAGGGCCACGGCAAGCTGCTTTCCGGCTGTAAGATCAAGGAGTTCTGGGTGCCCACGTGGCTATCCAATCAGGAGGGCCTGAAGCTGCAGAAGGGCATCTGGGGTGAGATTGTTGCCAAGCTAGAATCTGTGCAGCCGGGCTGCATCTCACAGCTGAAGTAGAATTTTTAGACCGCGAATTTCCTTTTGAGAATGCTGTGTAATTGGAAAGCCGTAGGTTCCGAGACGGTTATCATTGGGAACATCTAGTCTAGTTTGTTTAAAGAATTCGGACTGTTAATATCACCCTATTAGACTGCGCTTTCTTTATTGAGTTAACATAGAACAGCTACTATGAACGCCTCTAGGGAAATTATACACGTGGTACTATTGTATAGCTTAGCTCGACTAGACCTTGACATTTCCCATGGGACTAGCCAAAATCTGGTCCCATTTCCCATGGACTACCTATTGTAGTGGGGAAATAGGCTCCCCACTACGCATTTGCCCTTGCCTCTTCTTTTTCCATATGTTGTTATGTAAGCATTGAGATTATGAGGTTACAAGTAGCAGATAGATACAGATTGAGAATACACACTCCTACACCTCTCTGAATCCACTTCCAGGGCAGTGCATCTAGGCTCCCTTGTATGCAAAGTTGGGTATGAAGCTGAACTACGGGTGCTGAATCGACCCGTATGCCGCAGAGCATACAGCCTTGAGCGTTCCCCTCTTCACTATTTAGGTTAGACTATTACCTAACTAGGCAAATGATCGTAGTCTTGGCAACGATATCTGGAATTTACCATGGAAGTGGATCCCACGTGACCCCTATGGGACTAAAATTTCCCGTGTGTCAAGGTCTAAGATCGACTGCATATCGCTCCAGGCGCTAGTTCATCTGGGTCGAGCAGCGGTCCGGGAAAGAGCGGAAGGAATCTTGCGAAATTTTTGTTGAAATGTTGAGCACAGCGACACTAACTCCTCTCTTTTCGCTAGCCTCGGGGCGTTGTCTAGGTGTGAGTTAGTCTATGTCACCTCATGCCGGCGAAAAGCAAAACTCATGCAGCCCAAGTAAGCCTTTTAGACGCTGATTTGACGAAAGTCTGATCGATAGCCGCAGCTTCCGAACCGCTTTTCCATAGGGAACAGCCAGTTTATTTAGTTCAAGCTTTCTGGTCAGACTATCTGTCGCTTTATGAGTTGCTGCGGCTTGATCGCGGGTTGATCGCGGCCCGTGGTGCTTTTGCTTACATTAGTCTGGCTTACCCGAGACCAGCCTTCATGCATATGCACATGCGAGAGGCTGAGGGTGGTTCAGGGCTATGTTTATGTGACCTGGCACGGGCAGATACGTGTACAAATCTCACTTGCATGAATAACCAACTTACAGGGCGGGCTATACATATATTCAGATTCTCACTGGGTTAGGTGCGCACGAGTCTTTAGTTGAACAAAGATTTGTTTGCTCACCGTGTATCCAGGGATGCCTTCTACTCGAGAAAGGAGATGGTGGACTAGTCAGGAAGATGAAATCTTGAAGAGTGCGGTGCAAGCGCAATGTAACAACCCCACCAACTTGGATGTATACATTGCAATGTAACAATGTTCCAAGCTAACGTTCGGCTCACCACGCAGCATGCCAATATGGAAACGTACAGAATTGGAACGATATTGCCTCATTGCTTATCGGCCGCACCAACAAAGACTGCCGCAAGCGATGGTCAAAAGTACAGGTCGACATTCAAAAGGGTGTATGGACACGGGAAGAAGATGAGAGACTACAGCGTGCAGTGCAGCAGCTGGGGTTCAAGTATTTAAACCCGACAGTGTCATATTAGATCAATTGGTGGTGCTGACTATCAAACCAGATGGTCTCGCGTGGCCACCATGATGCAGTGTCGCAATGCAGACCGTGAGCTATCACATATCTTGATAAGGTCATCGGATGAAATGTCCCCACTAATTATCAATGGCAGAGTGTGCAAAACGCTGGCAGCAAACGCTGAGGCCTGGCCTGAAGCATACTTCGTGGACCACGGAAGATGATGAAATACTGTTGGCGGCCATTAAAACACACGACAACAATTGGAAGCAGATTAGCCTCTCAGTTTTCCCAGACCGTTCCACTCACGACATACGAAATCGGTGAGTAGGCTGCTTCATCAGCACAGAGCACAAGTTGACCATCTCTAAAGGAGCCTTCTTCTTGGCCGCAGGAGCCGAAATACAAGTGCCACGGAACACATACCCACGCAACTGCAGACCCCAAGTTCAGATGGAGATGAAATGGCCTTATGCAGAGACGGTACTGCCTACGACGAGACCCATGACGGCACCCCCGAGGCCACATACATTGATGCCCGAGACATGCTGGTCGACCCAGATCTCAGGGTTGAATTCTCCAGTGACTCTAGTTTTCAACACACTCATGAGTTTCCTATGATACCGAATAGCGCAAATACCATATTGGATCAAAGCTGGTTTGGGTGTGCGACAAACATGCAGAATCAACAGGGTCTGTCGGTACCACACAACGACTGCCTTTCTTGGAGCGATCCGTTTCAGGTGTCATCCTTGACCTCGTCTGGGTCCCAGTTTCCATGGTGGGAAAACGGTACTGCGGATCATCACGGCTTTCCCAGCTCGGTATCTTCTCATGCTGCAGTCTGTGAAGTTGGCGGGAAAGCTGAAGATATCAGTAGTATGGGCGGACCAGGGGCGTATGTCGATGCGAGTATAGAAATGCAGGGCGGTGATGCCGTTTTGGAGAACGAGCGGAAGGGGAGTGTCATCCTGACATTAAATGAAGTAGACCCAACTGTGGCCCACGAGATCATCGGCAGCATACTCAAGCACAGCGCGGGTCTCAGAGTTCGATACGTCTTCAACGGGAAATGAAAGGAGTTCACTAGATTTTTTGGAAGTGGATAGATATACATACTTCTAGATACTGCACATGAGGCATAGACCAAAGAATATATTTACCATACTTTGAAATGAGGACAAATTTGAGTAGTCAAACCTTGTAGTAGAATTTCCCCTTTTTTGAAGAGCAAGCGACAAAATACATGCCGAGCATTGCGATTGCTCTTGGCAGCATAACCACATTGCGGACCCGAGTTCGTTCGGCAGCTGTCTAGTTCACCAGCCCATGTTGGGGCCATGATTGATGAATAATTCCACCGAGTTGGGGTCAATCCACAATACTTAGATTCGGGCTTGGTATGATTACAATTGAAACCTGATTTTATCTGGCCACCTGTAGCAATTTAACTTACCCATCAGCACGATACTACTGAGTCGACACCTACTGAAACCCAATGTCTGCCTTCATCCCACCTAAGGTGGGCCTGGATGTAAACTCCAATGCTGGCATACGTACACTCCCAGACCTGGTCGATTTCCATGGCAAACACAATCTACAGCATACATTCTGCATACAAGCAACACGAGACCAGAGCTTCGTATCGGTGAGCTATGGGAAGTTACAACGTGCCGTTGTGCGTTGCCAGGCCAGGCTGAAAAGGGAGGATTCTGGTCTTCATCCTCCCACAGCTGATGCAGACGGACATGTGACAAAATGCGCCCCGGTTGCCATATTGACGGAGAGTCAAGTTGGCCTGGTTATCTATGTCCTCGCGTGCATGGGAATGGGCGTGCCAGTTGTGCTTCTGTCGGCACGATTGAGTTCCTCTGCTGTGCGTCACCTCCTTCAGGAGACGGGTGCAAGGCTCGTCATAGCCTCTTCTACATTACAGGCTCTTGCCTCTGAAGCCATATCTACCCCAGAGTGGACAAACGAAGCCGAGAGACATGGAGGTGTTACAGCGACAATTGGTGTGGCAGCTGAGTGGGAAAAACTTCTGGAAGAAGTGGACCATGCAGTTGATCGCCAACCTGCATATGCTGCGCATGCGACCCATTTTGTGTCAGAGCAGGACCGTCAGGTGGTTATTCTCCACTCATCCGGAACATCAGGGCTGCCAAAGCCAATTCCCTGCTCACATAAATATTTCTTGGGGTATGCAACATGCCACGCTTTTGCCTCAGACAGTGAAACTCACGGTCTGACAATTTCGACGCTGCCACTATTCCACGTCAGCTTTTAATCACTGCTACCGAAAATTGAATCTTGTGCTAATGTTTGAACAGGGATTTGGCTTCGTCGCGATCTGTCTCTCGTTGGGTGCCGGAAAAACCGTGTGCATCCCTCCGCCCTCAGTGGTACCCGACGGAGCATCAGTCGTTGCGCTCCTAGAACAGTCTGGTGCAAGAGCATTGTTAACTGTGCCGTCCGTTTTGGAAGAAATTGAAGGACTTCCACAAAACAAGGGACACGAAGCTCTTGCAAGACTAGATTTTGTTGGATTCGGCGGCGGCATGCCAAAAGAATCGGTCGGACAAAGACTTCAGGCAAATGGCATCAGACTGATCGGCCAGTATGGCGCTACCGAAACTGGTCCAATGACACCGTTGCTCATCCCCGGTAAGGAACACAACTGGCGACGACTAAGGTTGCGACGCGACACACTCGAACCGCTTCGAGTGAGACTGGATCGTGTTGAAGCGGAACTAAATCAATCCGATCAACATGCCTTCACGTACAGGCTAAGCATGGTGCCATTCGGCTGGACTGAGCGCTTTGAGCTGCAAGATCTCATCGTAACCACAACCGAGTACCCCGCAGGGAGCGATATTTCACAGTTAGACTTCACCGTGGCTGGTCGTACGGACGACCTGATTTGCCTCGCAACCGGTGAGAAAGTGAAGCCTACCATCCTGGAGTCTCTGCTGCGACAGCACGATGGAGTAAAGGACGCAACCGCATTCGGGGAAGGTCAATTCGAAATAGGCGTCATTATTGAGACTGCTGATACGCTGAGTTTGGGCGATATTGCCCAATTCAAGGCGACTGTTTGGCCTGTAATCAAGGAAGCTGGCTGGCAGATGGATGCTCATGCCAAAATCACGTCTCTGGCCGCTGTATTAGTCGTCTCTCCCGGGGATCTTCCGAGATCAGACAAGGGAACCATCTTGCGCAAGGCAGTGACGAAGAAATACGCAGAAGAGATATCCGCTGTATACCGCACTCTTGAGGTCGCCGTAGCACCAGCGCTGGACCTGTCCTCGTCACATTCCAGCATCAGGGCCCTCGTGGCAGAAAGCACGGGATGGCAAGCCAATTACGAAGACGACTTCTTTGCCCAAGGTATGGACAGCCTACAGGCAACGAAGCTTCGCAGACTATTAAAAGGTGCGGTGCAGGCGACACACTCTGAGTTGGGTCCCGGTGCATGCCATGTTCTGCCGGTTGCCAATATCGCTGACGACTTCGTCTACCGGCACCCGTCCATTAACAGCATCGCAGACGCACTTCTGTTCGGGAACGTTGCTACTAATGTAGTAGACACCGAGTCTCAGTTTCTCGAACAACTGGTGGAAAAATACACCAGTAGAAAAGACCACCCGATCATTCCTCATTCCGCTCTCTCCCTCTTTAGCGGTTCACTCTTGGTACAACTGCTTCCTAAGTTGATTTTATTTTGTGCCGTGTATTTGTTCCATTTCATCGCATCTCAATCTTCTTCAAACATGTCAGCCCGTCGAGGAAAAAGGTCTGTTGTGGTACTTACAGGCGCCACAGGAAGTTTAGGATCTTTCTTCTTAGCGCAGCTTCTCTCCGATGACTCTGTCAATCGAGTCATCTGTCTCAACAGGTCTGGCAAAGAGGATGCATTGCAAGCTCAGAAAAGTGCCTTGGATTCTCGAAATATCTTAGTCAACGATGATGCCTGGGCCAAAGTCGAGGCATATCAGACGGATACAGCGAGCCAATGGTTCGGACTGAAGAAGCACGACTACGAGAGTCTGGCGACAGAGGTGACACATATTGTGCATATTGCGTGGCCAATGAACTTTAAGATGGGACTGCAGTCGTATGATTCCTCTTTCAAATCTCTGCAGTACCTGTTGAAGTTTGCACGTGAAGCACGCTCCCGTTGCGATACCACGAAGCCAAGACTGTTATTCATATCCTCTATTTCCACAGTCGGCAACTATTCACTCTTATCTGGACAAAAGCTGGTTCCCGAAGTCATTCCGGATGACCCGGCTTTGACCCTCAACTTGGGCTATGCTAAGGCGAAGCTTGTATGTGAGAAAATGATTCAGCGTGCGGCAAATAAATATCCTGAAATTGAGGTTGGAGTGGTACGAGTCGGGCAGATTGCTGGAGCAAGCAGTGGTTACTGGAACTCAAACGAACATTTCGTCGCGGTATGCACGTCATCTCAGAAGATGGGCAAGTTTCCTGATCTACGTGGAGTAAGTCAAAATTATTGAATTCCGATATACATAGATGTTCGTTTCCTGACTAAAATTTGTGTACAGACATTATCCTGGCTGCCAGTGGATTCCGCTGCTCAGGCCCTCAGTGAGATTCTCTTCCACAGAGACCCTCTGCAGCTGGTATACCATCTCGAGAATCCGACTCGACAGAGTTGGGAACATACAGTCACTTTATTGTCCAAAGAATTGCAGATACCCAGTTCGTCCATTGTCGCATTGGACCAATGGCTAGATCATATTCAGTCTGCACCCGGGCCGGACAACCCTGCGGCAAGTCTGATTCAGTTTTTGAGAAATGACTTTCTTAAAATGTCATGCGGTTCTGTGATTCTCGACACAACTTCCTCACGCAGTGTGAGTCAAACTATGGCCCACATGGATCAAGTGGGAGATGATTATATACGGGCGTATGTGAATTACTGGAAGAGTATCAAGCTGCTTCAGTAGCAGGTTATATTGCAGGGAAACATATTCACTGCTTATCATTGTCTGTTTTGTGATTTAATTAGAGTGAAAAATGCTTATCTTGAACCTAAAGTTGTATTGAGCCCCAAACATTAATTAATATCAACGATCAAGCCCTAGAGTCATCGGCAAACTATAGTGACACGAAGCGCCATCTACGGCGAGTGCCTTCTGAACTCGAATATCTACGGATAAACCGAGCGAGTATTGATAGGCTTGGTGAGTATCCAGGGGCGTATGATCTAGATGATCCCTTCATTTCAGACAAACCGGCCCTTGACTGCTATATTCCTAACCACACATTCCCCTACTGGTGTGATAAGCCAACGGCTTCTCTCCCGGTAAGTTCAATCTCTTTATAGCAATGAGCCACCTACACAGAGTCTATAGCTGTACCATTCAGCTCTTGTTCAAAGCCAAAAGAATTTTTGCTCCGGGGGGGCTGGGTAGTCATCGTGGACCCGAGTCGGACGTGTTTGGAGAGACCCGAGTTGGGATGAAGATCGCAATTCCAGTCGTGTTTTACTCTCTCGTGTAAGATAACCGCTGCACCGTTGGTGGAAACATGGCTTGTGGTATGATTCGTCGTAGTGCTATTTCGTTCTGGGGGCTCTTTGATGGTGGGGGCACCTAAAAAGACATTTCTGAGGACCCGATTACCGCAGCTTCTATAGCGAACATTTCCGTTGCTGACTTATATAAGAGGATATATCTTGGTGATCTCTTCATATCTCCATTATAATCCCCCTTGGCTCAACAGCTTCAGCTCACAGCATTCCTATTAACAAGGAGGAAACAAACATGACAAAAACGTCCGGATCCACAATGGGTAGTGCCGTACTCGAGGAAGTGTCGCCCAACGCTGTTGCCATCGTCGGTATGGGATGCAGATTCTCCGGAGCTGATTCAGTTGAAGATTACTGGCGTATTTTGGAGAAGGGCCAGTCTATGATGAGCGATCTTCCCAAAGGTCGTTTCCCGGCAAGCGAACATCAACGCAGCACCGACAAGACGGTGTACTTTGGCAACTACCTGGACAGCATCTCAAGGTTCGACAACCGTTTCTTCAAGAAGTCCAGCCGCGAGGCTGCATCTATGGACCCGCAACAGAGGCTTCTCCTTGAAGTTTCGTACGAGGCCTTGGAGTCGAGCGGCTTTTTTGGGCCCCGCGAGCCAGAGTTTGACGTCGGATGTTTTATCGGAGTATGCGCCTCTGAATACAACGATAACGTGGCCAGTCATCCATCCAATGCCTTTTCTGCACTGGGTACATTGAGGGCATTTGTTCCAGGCCGGATCAGCCATTTTTTCGGCCTCACTGGACCATCGATTGCCCTGGACACGGCCTGTTCATCCTCAGCTGTTGCCATTGACGCTGCTTGCAAGGCTATTTTGCACGGTGACTGCAAGAGCGCCATTGCTGGCGGTGTCTCCGTCTTCACAAGCCCTTTCTTCTATCAAAATCTATCCTCTGCATCGTTTCTTAGCTCCACGGGCGCAAGCAAGTCATTTGACGCCAGCGCAGATGGCTACTGCCGTGGGGAGGGTGTCGGTCTCGTCATCCTGAAGCGTCTGTCAGACGCCATTGTGTGTGGCGACAATATTCTCGGCACGATCCTTTCAACCGCAGTCCGCCAAAGCAGCAACAAGGTGCCTATCACCGTCCCCTACAGCCCATCACAGGCAGACCTTTACAGAAAGCTCCTCAGTACTGCTGGAATCACGCCAGAGGCCGTCACATACGTCGAGGCTCATGGCACAGGCACTCCCGTTGGTGACCCTCTCGAATTCGGTGCGATCAAGGAGGTATTTGGCACCCAGTCAAGACCGGATCCGCTATACTTTGCATCGGTCAAGGGTAATATTGGACATACCGAAGGCGCCTCTGGTGTCGCTGGTCTTATCAAAATTATCCTGATGATGCAGCATCGCGCCATTCCAAGACAGGCACATCTCCAGTGTGCGCACCCCAAGATTTCGCTGATACCGGGTCAAATCTACATTCCTACGGAGACTATGCCATGGAATGCAAAAAGGCTTGTCGCATGTGTGAACAACTATGGAGCCGCGGGCAGCATTGCTGCCATGATAGTCGAGCAACCGCCATCGCAAGATGTTGCTACCGCTACATTGTATGGGAGAAATAAGTATCCCCTTGTCATCACCGCCAACAGTCCAAAGAGTCTCAGTGAGAACTGTGCAAAATTGGCTGATTACGTGTCTTCGCTCAATGGACAATCTGCTTCAGGCGCAAGTCTGCTCGCAGATTTTACATTCAACCTCAGCGACAGGCAAAACAGAACCCTGCCCAACATGTTTGCAACAGCCGTCTCTAGCCTATCCGAGCTAGACAGCCAACTTCGTGTAGTGGCTTCCGATCCCGTTTCAACCATCTGTCAACCGAGCCAAAGTCCGAAACCTGTCGTTCTCATCTTCGGTGGCCAGACAGCTCGCACTGTTGGCCTGAGCAAGAGTGTCTATGAGTGCTCGCACGTATTCCGCAAGTACCTCGATGATTGCAACGATGTGATAAAAGGATTTGGCCATAATGGCATATATCCTGACATATTCGACCCGGCTCCGGTTCATGACGTGGTGTCGCTCCAGACGATGCAGTTTGCGCTGCAATATGCTTGCGCACAATCATGGATTGCCTGTGGTCTAAAGGCTAATTGTGTTCTTGGCCACTCATTTGGTCAACTCACCGCCTTGACGGTCTCCGGTGTTCTGTCGCTCGTCGACGGTCTCAAATTGGTACATGGTCGAGGAATACTCATGCGCGACAGTTGGGCTTCTGAGAGCGGCTCTATGCTTGCCCTCGAGGCTGACCGCGCGAGTACAATGCAAATAGTCTCTCAGATACGGACAATTAATTCGCCTTCCAGTTCTGGGATTGAGGTGGCATGCTTTAATGGACCGTCAAGCCATGTCCTCGTTGGATCTTCTGTTGAAATCAGCGCTGCTCTCCAGGCCACGAAGAGGACCAATATTAAAACCAAGGTCTTGGATGTGACTCATGGCTTTCATTCGCGCTTCTGCGATCCCATTCTTCCAGAACTGGAGAGACTCGCGCAGGGGCTTACATTTAACAAGCCCAAGATTCCCTTGGAGACCTGCTCCAACGGGCAACCTTGGAGCGAGGTCACTGCTAAGCTGATCGCTGAGCATACTCGAACACCTGTATACTTCAAGGATGCAGTAAAGCGAATTGAGATGCGGCTCGGCGCATGTACATGGTTAGAAGTTGGATCCAACTCTCCTGTAACAGGTATGGTGCGCCGAGCTCTGGCGGATTTCAAAGACCATTCATTTTGCCCAATCAACTTGTCTCGAGATGACGCCATGAGCGAATTGGTGGACATAACAGTAGGCTTATGGAAGAACGGTGAACATGTTCAATATTGGCCGTTCCACCACATCCAACGTCAGGATTACCGGCATCTGAACTTGCCGCCTTACCAATTTGAAAAGAACGAGCACTGGCTCGACTTTGACCTACAGGCAGGAAATGGTTCAGAGTCAACTGGGACGGTGTCGAAAAGTTCTGAATCGGCCTTAGCCGAGCCGGAGCCGGTCCTTGTTACGTTCGCAGGGTCTCAAGACATTGGCAACGGCCAGAAGCAGACCACCTTTACCATTGACCCACGTTCTGAAGAATGGAAGGTACTTGTTGCCGGTCATTCCGTATTACACGAGTCTCTATGTCCCGCATCAATGTACCTTGAGCTAGTTCTTCGGGCAGCTAAGGATCTGGCAAACATCAACAAAATGACATCTGCTCCGTTCGCCCGTGTGGATGAGCTCGAAATGGCTTCTCCGCTAGGTATGAGTCAGGACAAGATCGTCCAGCTTGTATTAAAGTCATCAGATACTACTGGCCGGAGATTCAATTTCGCTTTCCATTCACAGGGCCGTGCTGTAAAGCCAACTGCTATGCAGACACACGCTGCCGGCAAATGCGAGATTACTCCAGATGATGATACAACTGTTATTGCGGAGTTTGAAAGGACTAGGAAACTACTCCAGCATATTCACAAGGACCAGAGACAAGACCATGTCCAGAGATACGCAGAAATGGCCACGCAGCCGGAAAGCGAGGCAGTCTACGGGTCGGTCGTCTACAAGATCTTCTCCAGGGTAGTCCAATACCATGACTTCTACCAAGGCGTTCGAAGGCTCGCTAGTACCAACGATGGCTTTGTCGCTGCCGAGGTGTCCCTACTAGAGACCCAACCGGGAGTTTCAAAAGATCTTCTATCTTTCCCTGTAGCCATCGACAATTTCTTCCAGGTTCCTGGATTGTTTGCAAACTGTCTGGCACCTTGCCCGTCGGACGAGGTCTTTGTCTCTACCCATGTCGACCGCATCCAGTTGTCGCCCGAGTTTGGCAAGCGACAGACTGAGGGGGGCAGCCCTGCTTGGGACGTTTTTGCCATATCTACCTCCATTGGCGAGAAGGAAAGCTCTAACGATATATTCGTTACGGACAAGGGTACCAATAAACTTGTCTTCATTGTCTTTGGAGCAAAGTTCAGCAGGGTAAAGACGGCAACACTTGCCAAGATCTTGTCTCGCGCCAACCAAAATGAGACTTCCGCGCCTATGAGAAATGAAACAACTCAACGCGGTCGTTTGAATACCGGCAAAGCTCCATTGATCTCGTCTGTGTCGAAGACCCCGACAGTGGTGCTGAGTCAGCCTATACCAGGCCAGCAGCAGCCATCAAGGCAGACTGGACCTCAAGTGGAGGCAATGACAGCTAAGAAAATTCCATCGCCATCATCGCCGGTCATCCAAATGAGGACCCAGTTGCCAAATGTTGAGACGCAGCTTCGGCAAATGCTCAGCGAAATAACCGATGTACCTGCGAATCAGTTCCAGACGACGGTTACCCTAGACCAACTCGGCATCGATTCACTGATGACCACGGAAATTGTATCAGAGGTTCAAGAGGTCTTTAACATAGCAATTGATACGGCTCAACTGTTTGATCTGCAGACTTTTGGATCTTTATGCTCATACCTAGATACACATGAGAGCCGACAAGGGTCCGTCAATTCAGTGGATCAGTCGCCACAAGCCAAGCTTGCACCTCCTCTCCCATCTACCCTGGCCATCTCGTCAGCCGAAGAGCAAGATGTCATTCGTGAGGTTGTGATTGAGCAAACCACATCAGTGGCTAAAAATGCAGGTGTGCCGGACTACGAAGAGCTCGTCGCGCAACTGGCTGGTTTGCTGGGCACTCATCTCGAATGTCCACCTACAGACTTCACAGGACCAACGAACCTCATGGATCACGGTCTGGATTCCCTCCTCAGCATGGAGCTTATGAGTGATATCGAAGAAATCTTTGGTGTTTCGATTGATTCTAAGCTTTTATTGAGCGAGAGCAGCTTCGGGCATCTCGCAGACATCCTCGTCAGCGCCGTCACTTCTCTCCGACCAGCAAGCAGCACAGATTCGACCACGGTCACTTCAACACGGGCGCAGTCAAATGGGATGACAACACCGGGCACCATGACTGACAATAGTGTCGATGGCGGCGATATCTTCACTGCGACTGCCAAGGTGCAGTCTGTTTCGACAACAGCTGTCCTCGATAGCGCAGCTCAGGCATTTGAAAGTATCAAGGGGCACTTCGATAGGTTTGCAGAGCAATATCACTTCAGCGATTTCTACACCAAAGTCGCCGACAAGCAAGCAGACCTGGTTCTAGCTTACGTGGTCGAAGCCTTAGCCGATTTCGGCATCGATCTGAACACACTGAGACCAGGAGAGCAGATCCCACGAATTCTTGTAGCTCCCAAGCATGAAAGTATGATCAAAGTTTTCAACGAGATCCTCCGATGGGGCAAGTTGGCCGACTACGACGGCAAAGAATACGTCCGCTCAGATGCGATCGTACAGAAATTGCCATCCAGCGTCCTGTACAAGGATATCCTGGCACAGTTCCCTCAACATGCCAAAGAACATACGCTACTAAATCTCTGTGGTTCGGACATGTCGAAACTCCTTACTGGCAAGATGGATCCTCTAGCAGTGCTGTTCGGAAACAAATCCAACAGGGAGATCCTGAAAGATGTGTACAGCACTGCGCCCATGTTTGTAATTCACTCGCAGCTACTAACAGACTACCTGGAGGAAGCACTGAGTACATCCTCACCAGGGCCTGATGGAAAGTTCCACATCATGGAGCTTGGGGCTGGAACTGGTGCCACGACGCGCTGCATTGTGGACCGACTGGTGCAGTGCGGGATACCGATCGAGTACACTTTCACCGACATCTCTTCTGCACTTGTCACAGGTGGTAAGCGCAAGTTTGCCCGTTACGACTGCATGAAATACGGCACCGTCGATATCGAAAAGGAGCCACCCGCCCAATACCTGGGACAGTTCGACGTTGTCCTTGCGACCAACTGTATCCATGCAACCCGCAATCTCCAAAACTCCATGGGAAACATTAGCAAGCTACTGCAACCCCACGGTTTTGTGTCGCTAGTCGAGCTTACTACTAGGAACTACTGGCTAGACATGGTCTTTGGCCTCCTTGACGGATGGTGGCTGTACGATGATGGACGTCCTTACGTGCTCGCGACTCCCGAGTTCTGGGAAAATATTATGCTACAGGTCGGTTTCCAGCATGTGTCATGGACGGGCGGCCATACACCCGAATCAGAGGCCGTGAGGGTCATCTCCGGGTTCAAGCAGCCCGTGCAAGATCCATCCTCGTATCGCAGCATGCCGCAGGAGAAGACTGGAAATATTGAGACGGTTGTCTTTGCACATACAGACAAAGATCTTCCACTGAGGGCAGATATCCGCTACCCGTCACCGCAGATGGCGGCCAGATATGATACTTGGGTCACTGGTATGGTATGATCCGGCTTTCCAGCGTAGGAATGTACAGGCCGGAGCTAACAATGCTCTGGTATAGGCTTAGTGATCCACGGAGGAGGTCATGTGATGCTATCGCGTCAAGATATTCGACCACGTCAAATACAACTTCTTCTTGACAATGGTATTTTGCCTGTATCCATTGACTACAGACTCTGCCCAGAGACCACCATCTTAGAAGGACCACTCGTCGATGTCGCCGATGCATATGCCTGGGCACGGAACTCGCTGCCATCTCTGAGTTTGACAAAAACCCGAGTCAATGAGAGACTTGACTGCAGCAGGGCAGTAGTTATCGGCTGGTCCACTGGTGGTACGCTTGCCATGTCTCTGGCGTGGACCTCGATACCACGTGGAATCTCTCCCCCAACAGGCATCCTGGCCTTTTACTGTCCGACCAATTACGAAGATGATTTTTGGCTGAAGCCCAATATGCCAAAACACTCTGACACGTTTGGCGGCGAGTCATACAACGTCATCGACGGAGTTTACAATGCTCCAATCACGGCTTACAATATACCATCCACGACGAAGGCAGCAACAGGGTGGATGGCACCTAAAGATCCTCGCAGCCGAGTTCTCCTTCATATGAACTGGCATGGACAGACTCTTCCTGTCCTTTTCCGCGGGCTACCAGCAGGGCCAAGCGTGCCACAGCAGGTTGCGTCAGCATTCAATCGCCTGCAACAACCACCAAAAGAAGACGTTATCCAGGCTAGTCCCTACGCGCAGATTCTTCAAGGCAATTACAAGTCGCCAACCCACATCGTGTTTGGCACCAGTGATGATCTGATCCCATGGGAACAGGCTCAGCGGACGGTTGCCGCGATGAAAGACGCTGGCATCGAGTCGGGGCTTACAATCGCGCCCGGGGAGCCTCACCTGTTCGACTTATACCGCGATCCCAATGGCTGTCGCTGGGGTTATGTTATGGAAGGCTACAACTTTTTGCTTCAAATTCTGGGGAAGGAAACTGTTTGATACCGTATGGTTTCCAGACGGATGGGCTGTCGCTCTGTAGAAGGCTGGCTTGCATGTAGACTACTGGCATCCAGGATGGAAAAAAGAATTCCGACTATACTAACCCATGACCCTGCTTCCCTCACTTAGTGCTACTCATAACTATTTTATACATAGGGCTCAACGGCTGTTCTCATGGTATCTGCTGGGCCTTAAAATTGGAACTTTGTCGTTGGGACCCGAGTTACATTGGCCACAATAGCTGAGCTCTTGGACCCGAGTGGTCAAGCGTGAGATTTCGCCAGATCAATTAAAACCATATACCATGCCAATCAGGACGGACTTGTAGACCTCATACGACCTCATAATCACCATGCAACTAGCACATATTTGTCTGCCTCTCAGTGACAAAGCTTGCCGACTGGGTGTAATCGTTGCCCTAACAGTAATTGTAGTGATTTCCTTCAATATTCTGCGACTATGGTTTCGCTTGAGGCATATCCCTGGGCCACGGATGTCAGCTCTGACAAACCTCGTCCGACGATCCTGGGTTACGACTGGTGGCGCGCATGATATACACACTGCCCTTCATCGCAAGTATGGCACCGTGGTACGCGTCGGACCCAACGCGGTCATGGTTTCTCAGCCCAAGGCCATTGACACTATCTATGGATTTAAAAATAGACTTGAGAAGGTATCTTGCCCCCTAAATTGAATCAAGCTTTGCTTTTGTTAACGCTACACTTACCAAGTCGGAATTTTACGACTCAATAATGCCAAGAATCAAGGGTGGCAAGCTTCCTGATATTTTTGCAACACGCGACGAAGACATTCATCGGCGGATGAGAAGACCTGTTGCCCGTTTGTTCTCAGTTAGTCATTTGGCAACGTTTGAGTCGACGATGACATCCACTCTGAAACACTTTTTCTCTCGTCTGGATGAATTGTTTGCGAACAAGGACACAGACTTCGATCTCTTCCAATGGATTCAATTCTTTATGTTCGACGTCCTTGGCGAAGTCACTTTCTCTCGGGAGCTAGGCTGCTTGGAAAAAGGTGAAGATGTTGATGGCATCATGGCTAATATATGGGCCTACTTTAGACAGGTTGCTGCTGTAGGTGTCGGCCTCCCAGTTCTACGGCTCGGGTATTGTTGCTTACCAGAATCCCAGAATACCCAAATGCCTTGGCTCGATTATCTCTGGAGAGATAATCCGCTGGTACCTGGTTCGACCAAGAAGAACCCTCTGGCCGAGTTTGGGTTCGCTAGAATCATGGAACGAATGAGCTTGAGCAAAGATGAGAAGCAGAACCTCGGTCAGAAGGATTTCCTATCCTGTTTTCTCGACGAACAGGCCAAGGATTCCACTCTTCCAAGCCTGTACGAACTCCCGAATCAGAACCACCATTATGCAACATGAATTGACGGATATGATATAGATTCGTTCCCACTTGGGTCAACTCTAACATCGTTGCCGGTGCAGACACGACCAGCATCCTGGCCGGCGCCGTCATGTATCATCTTCTCAAAAATCCTTCCTCTCTCGCCAGACTCAAAGAAGAGGTTGATGACGCCGCAGCTAAAGGCCGTCTGTCCAGATATGTAACCTGGAAGGAGTCCAGAGAATTGCAGTATCTGGATGCCTGTGTCAAAGAGGCCACAAGAATGCATCCTCCTTTTTCCCTCCCCTTTGAACGCGTTGTACCCGAGGGTGGTTTGGAAGTCGATGGCCATTATATTCCCCCCGGCACCAGAATCGGAATTGTAAGAATATCCCGAAAGTTGACAAATAACGAGAATTTCGGTTCTAAACTTTGCGTCATAACATATAGAACCCTTGGGCTATGCATCGCGAAGCATCCATGTTTGGTGCGGATCCTGACTCATGGCGACCTGAACGCTGGCTGTGTAGTGAGTCCAAGCGACAAGAAATGAACAATGCGCTTTTAACAGTATGTTCCCATGCCATTCGATTATATTTACATATGCCGGAACTATAGCGGACTGACTCTGCTATATTTAGTTTGGCGCGGGTCATCGAAGCTGCCTTGGAAGGCATTTGGCCTACTTTGAAATCTACAAACTCGTTCCATCTCTGTTGCAACAGTACGATGTAAGTAAAATTCCATTACTATTATTGGGTCTGACCTAACAATTCAAAACAGATTGAATTAGTAAATCCTGTTGGTAACTGGACGGTTGAGAACAAGTGGCTAGCCAAGCCCTCTGGGTTCCAGGTAAAGATCTCATCCCACAACTAGCAACATATACATCATATACAGCATTGTAGCATTTCATTAGATACATCATCCAATCTTTTCACGGTTTTCCAGATTGATTGGCAACATATCTATGTCTTCGTTGGTTATGTAAGATCCGGCCCCGAGTTACGAGGATTCATCTATATAACATTTCGGGTCTAGAGTGATGTCAGCGATCCTATTAGGATAACTCGGGGCCCTTGTTAGTTCGCTTCAAGGTAGCATGAGCGCTATATATATGATAACTAATCCTACAAAAAAACTGTTCTTCCACTGTCATCCTCCATTCTACTCTCGAGAAAATGCCATCTTCATTCACACCGACCCAGTCTGCATCACCGCTCAGGGTGTGGAACTCGCTGGTAAAAAAAAGTCTCCCGCAGGTGGTAAACAAAGATGTTAAGTTGTGGTGGAACCTCACTGGATATCATCTCGCAGTAATGATTGATGCGGCTGGATATTCGATCGAGAAGCAGTATGAGGTGCTTCTTTTCCACTACCACTGGATTGTAAGCCCATATTCTGACATGCCACTATAATCCATAGACAAGTTGATGTTAACAAGAAGCCAGGTGCCTCGACTGGGACCAGCACCAAAGCCCGACGGCACTCCAGTATTTAAATCTCTGATTGCCTATGATGGCTCGCCTTTGGAGTACTCCTGGAAGTGGAACACCACGGTCGGCGAGCCTGACATCCGCTACTCATGGGAGGCGATTGGCAAGGACTCGGGCACAGCATCCGACCCGCTGAACCATGATCCAACGCTGGACTATATGGACAAGGTGACTCAAGTACTTCCCGCAACGGACTACTCATGGTTTCGTCACTTCCTAGCAGAAGTTTACAACCCCGACAGAGAGTTTTATGCCAAGGAGCTGGAAGCCGGCGAGCCGCCAGCCACCACTCTCATGCACGCCATCGAGTATAACAAAAAAGCCGACTTCGGACTCAAGTCATACTTCCTAGCGAGGAAACTGTTCATGGGAGGCGACCCTAACACTCTGCAAGAGTGGGACGATGCCATCGTGAAACTTACCCCTAGCGAGGGCCACCCAGGGAGAGATGCTTTGATGCATTTCATGACCACCAGCCCCGAGGGCAAGCTGATGAAGCCCAACGTAATGGGAATAGACAATATAGATTCATCCAAGTCCCGCCTCAAGATGTACTTCACGTCCACTCACACCAGCTTCAAGTCGGTCCGGGAAATCATGACAATGGGTGGAATCTGCGACATCGCCGAGGACAGCCTGCAGGATCTACGCTCCATGATCACTGCTGTCTTGGGCCTGCCAGCAGATTTCCCCGAGGAGGAGGAGATTTCCGTCGAGGCCACCACCGGCGGCAATACCTGGAAGGACTTTGAGACTCTGTGCGAGGGCTTCATCTACTTCTTCGATATTGCCCCGTTGAATGGCAAGCCGGAGGTCAAGTTTTACTTGACCACTCGCAAGTATGGTGCGGATGATCTGACCATTGCCCGCAACTTGATGGCCTGGATGTACGCACATGGCCGTGGCACGTACTGCGATGGGTATCTTGGCATGTTAGAGAGGCTCTCCGAGCACAGGGGCTTGGAGAATGGCAAGGGAATGCATGCTTACATTAGCTACCAGTGCGCTCAGAAGGGAGAGCCGGACATCAAATCGTACATCTCTCCCGAGTTGTACCACAAGGCCCGATATGCGGGCATCTAATGAAAGACGCCGGAACATCAACGGATAGCCGGGTTGGTAGAATGCCGCATTTCCATGAGACCCAGAAGTCTTTTAGAGTAACGAACATGTCGAATGTCATGACGACTCTCGTGATGGAATATCCCATGAAACCTCTCTGCTCCCCAGTCGTACATGCTCCCATAGATGACGGCCTTGATCTTCGTGCAAACTGAATATCCAAGAAAACCGACTTAGCTCCCGCTGGATGGCACCCCAATTCTCCAGCCCTAGCCGTGTACAATTGTCGGCAATCAATGGCGATAGCCAGTAATGGTCCTTCAAATTTAACACCGATATCCCGCTTATGAAGAGAATCCATAAGATTAAGGACGAATTATAGTCCGAAGACTCTGGTGCTGTGGCGCAGAGGTCTTGCATGGCGCTTTCCAGACCATCAGAAAGAAGGGAGAAGCTGGGACCATCGCGGGTGTACTCAGGTAGCATCGTCGTCATAAATGATAGCATCGCAAGGTATGTCACATGCCCGTAGAGTCCTCCGGGCTTAGTAGTGGGTTTTCTTCGTGGCAAGACATCTACAAGGCGATAAAGGAGCGACAGAAGTGTCTCTGTATAGTCTAGAGGGTCAAGTTTCGGTTTTGACCTTCTCGCCGCTTCGTTGAGCGACTTTGAGAAGCTGAGCAGATCTAGCATTATGGGTGGCATCCAAAAGGTATCTCGGGGAAGATGCCTATTGCTGACATCGTGATCGCATAGGACCGAGTGAATGGGAACTTCATCGCCGCGAAACAATGTGGGTGTTCCATTTTGCATTGCTAATTCAATATCGAGCCTAAAAGTAGTTAGATGAAAACTCATAGACTGTCATTCAGAAGCAGAGAATGCCATAACGAGGGAAAGTGAAGGCAAAGTGAAGGCAGGTCGCGAAAGCAAGCCTTTTCACGTACCTCAATGGCTTCATTGCCAGTGCACGATTTTCTTGCATTAGCCTGGCAATCCCACCCCGCAGCTCAATCATGTGATAGAGCCCGTGGAGATGTACGAGTCCGATTGCAGGCTGGTGATGTACTTGCTGGTAGATGGCGAGACTAACCACAGCAGCTATGGCGCTGTCCGAAACAGAGAAGGGACCCGACAGTTTGATGTTAACCAAAGCGTACGCCTTGGAGATATGATGAAGAGTTCTTGGCGATATTGCTGGTTTCCGCTGGAAGAAGTCAACGTAAGACGCGTTTATAGCCAAAGTGCTGTGGAAATCTGTGTTCCGGGTTGTTAACGGCGCCGTATGAACCTACCGACAATGCTGTCACTCACATGCTTCATCTGCAAGAATGCAGTTGACCCAGATCGACTTTATGATGTCGAACTTAGTACAGAACTGCGGTGGAAATAGCGTATCACTAATATCAAAAAACCCTGTGATTATAATGTTAGACATAATAGGACCTGGATGACCAGCCGAGTAATGAGGGGAGCATACATCGATGCATAAGCCCCATGGACTGGGAGTCGAGCTCTTGAGGGAACGAAGTGACACACAGGTCACTCCAGAGCACCTGTCGCGGGATTACGTATCCGGATTCTGGAGCATATAAGAGCGACTTGAGCTCTGCGACATTCTTCTGCTTCTTGGTGGATCGGCGCTGCTTGCCCGTATTTTTGCCGCGCATGACGTGGGAGCGGATGATGCGCCTGTCAGAGCGGCCAATTCCGCTGAGGCTCTGGTCAATGAACTGCAGCGCCATGGCGATGGTGATAGTTTCATGTTATTCTTGTAACAGTCAGAGCCATCCAGTAGGTTACTTCTTCTAGAATTCGAGGCTTTCAAGGGCCTAAATGGGCAGATGATACAGGGAGTACAGTTAGTTAATAACGAGGAATCAAAGGGAATCATGTTGGGTGTAGTGGTCACGTGACCTGTCACGTGACCCTATGTGCCTAACTCTGAGATTCTGTTAGGATCGCATGGTTTTCATTGGGTAGTAGTAATTGTTGGATCCAGTGGTCACGTGATATGGCACGTGATCCTACATGCCGTAGGACCTCTATGATTGCTATCTCCTATCGTCCCCTACTCTCTCCTTTCCCCTTAGTCAGTTATCACAACCAATAGAATCCATCATTATGTTACGCACTAGCTAACGTATTTCACCACAGAGTGGCCCACCCTACCCAACCCATTAAATTTAAATGCATTTATCTCAACCATAACGCCATTAAATTAAATCAACTAACTAACTGGTCTATCTGGACATGTTTCTCTTCTATGTCCTAGTAATCTGCATATTCCACACCCGCGGGGGGGGCCGCGTACGTGGCTGGATAGTCGATTCTATCCCATGGGGGGAGGGGATTCGGGGGTGGAATCCATTAGGGTTTTGCCGTTAAGTATAGGAGAAAAAAGTGGGGCTACCCCCGAATCCATTAATTTTGACACGCCCGGTGTATTTAGTAGTTAGCGTCGGATAATACTTAGATTTTTAGGAGTTATATCTATAGTAATAAATTTTATATATTTTCGATTTATAGTAGATTTAGTCAGTATTAGTAGAGAAAATTTCGATTGAAATTTAGTAGATATTTTAGTAAGGACTTAGGAAGTAGAGATACGACCGCTATTAACTACCTATAATATTAATATTAGGGTTAATAAATTGATTAGTCTAAGATATAATTAGATAGTTATAAGACTAAGATAAGATTTAGGGGTAATTAGAAGTCCTAGCTATCGTCTAGTTTAATTTCGAAAAACTTCTACTACTTTATCTACCCTAGTTTATTATATAATTTATAAATTTATTATATAAATTTATAGATATATATTACTATATTAATATAGAGAACGAACTTTTTACTAAACCTATAGAATACCCTATTATTATTTATAAACGTTATTAGATCGGCGTTAGGCCTAGTAAAATTAGTCGATATTTACGAGGGATATACTATAAAGCCCTAATAGCCGATAGCCGATAGATATAATATACTATTAAATAGTAGGACGGAGTATAGTAGTATAAATAATAGGAAGTCCCTAAAAGATTAGTTAATTCTATCCCCGGAATTCTAATCTATAACGATAGTATTTTATATTATAGAGATATATAATACGGGTATATAGTTAGGTTAGCTAAGGCGATAAAGAAGTATTAGCGTAAGAAATATAGTTAGACCCTAGCTAATAGTAAAGGTCGTCTTTATATAGTAACCTATAATTCCGCCTAGTAGCAATTTTAGTAATTTAGCTATACGGTTATATACTAATAGGTATTTACCTAAGGTATAGGTAGGTATTATATCTACGTATAGGGCTACCTATCGAGCGAGCTAGTAGGCTAGCCCGTTCCGATAGAATAGCCCGTCTAGTAGGCGTCCTAAATCTATATAGAGCTCGATAAAATAGAAGAACTATACTAGTAGTATATTAACTAGCCTATATAGATCGAAGCCGGCTAGCGAGATAAAGCGAACCTATAGTTATATCGTATATAGTAGGCCGTATATTTAGCTAGTTTAAACCCTAACGATTTAGTCTAGTACGTCTAATAACCTAATCCTAAAGACTAAAGCGAGGAAGTATTAACCACGGCCGCGATTTAGGATTCTATAGCCGCCATAGCCTATATAAGTTAAAAGATTAGCGCGCGTATAGGCCATACTATCTAGATCGAAGCTATATAGGTCGAGCGCGATAAGATACCTAGTAAGCCGCTATAAGCGTATATAGTAGAAGAGGCTATCGTTAAATATAGTATCCCGTGGTAGTAGGTATTAATATTTTTCGTACGTATATAGGTCCTATACGAGTAGAATAGTCCGAAGTATTTATTTACCTAGCGATAATAGCGTACGTAGGAGAAACTATAGAACGAAGCGTAGGCGGTTACCTAGTCTAGCTAACCTAGTTCGCTAGTCTGTAATCCCCTAGATCTAGAGTCCGCTAATAGTTCGCGCGGCGCTAGTCCCGTTCCGAGCTAGGCGAGTAAAGATAAATTTTACTAGTTCGGACGTACGGACCGTAATATACCCGATAATCGGGCGTAATTCGAATTATCCGCTATCGATATAATATATTTAGATTTTTATATAGAATTATTAAACTAGTATATACGGGTAGAGGACTACGAGTATACGTTAATATATATACTAGCGGTATAAGGCCGAGGTAAAGCCGGTTAGCGCGACGCCGATAATTACCTACTAATTTTATCCTAGATTATCAAAGTCGTACGATTTATAATAGTATATAAAGCTATACGATTAGACCCGTAGGCGGGCGAAATAATAAAGATTTTATAAGAATATCGTATAACTAGTACGTAGGAGGGTAAGAGTACGATAGATAAGCTAGGATATATATCGGCGGGTTATAGTTCCCCCCTACTATCTAGCTAAACTATATTAATCCACTTTAGCTAGAATAGTTAGGTATAATCATTCTACGATTAGGTCGTTTTAATAGTCGATAAATTTATAGTCCGCGGTATAGACAGCCTAATATAGTAGATTTTAGATTTACGTATATATAGGTTAAAGATCTATTATAATAGTACGACGCTAGGCTATATAGGATAGATAGATTAGGATCGGTTATATTATAAGGAGCTAACGTTTACGATAGGTTAGTTTAAGGGGTTTATATACTAGTTAGTTAGTAATACGCGGTAGTTATTATTAGACGAGTTAATATTTACGGATATCGCCGATATACCTAAGATCCTATAGAAGATATTATATAACGATCCTATATAGAGTAGCTATAGTTAGAGTTTTTTATAAGATACCTATATACTATAGCCTATAGACGGAGCGAAGTAGATATAGTAGCGGTTATAATAGAAGCCCTAGCTAGCGAAGTAGTTTTTCGAGTATAGAGTACCCTAGATAGCTAAGATCGATTCGTTTATACGACGAGTAGTAGTATTCTATCGGAAGTTAAGTATTACTATCTATATTTATAGCGGATAGCCCGCCTATACGCTAGAACTATTAAGTATTCGATATAAGAATACCGATAGCGGTAGCTACCGGAACGTATTTATCGAGGACGGGATAGTTACGATAGTCACGTCATACTATAAGGGGTTTTACGTATCGAACGATATAAAAATTATCTACCGGTATTTACCATAGGATATTAGGGAGCTAGTAGTATAGTATTTATAGTTAGTATTACCGTTTATCGAGCGAATAGAGCTATATTAGGACTACCGACGCGATAAAGAGAGGAATAACTAGTAAGTATAGTAGTCTAGGGGTCCCGATTAAGGGGTTTACCGACTAACTACCTAGATACTAACGAGCGGTATATATATAGCCCCCCGACCCCGATATATAGCGGGTATAGAGCTTAGAGCGGTTATAGGACGATTTAAAGAGCGAGACTAGCCGGGGGTTAGATAGAGCGATTAATTTAACGGCGTACCGAGATATTACTATTAGGATCAGTCGACGGTATATACGGTATTCTAACTAGTTCCCGAATAACGTATATATAGATAATCGTATACCGGAGGACTAGGACGATACCGACGACGAGGGCGGTATAGGAGCGGAGGAATAGATAGGCTACGTTACAGATTTATAGGTAGCGTATTCGTCGTATATCGTAAGTATAGTATATAGGCGTAAGATTACCGAGTAGCCCGGTACCATAGCATATCGACGGCAGTTATTCCGATTGTCGAGCACGGATTAGCACCGGTTTTTAGGCTTCGTATACGGCGATAGTGAATATATAGACCCCCGCGGAGCCAGCTAGCCGTCGCTATAGGAGATAGAAGCCGAGCGTAGTCGCTAGGACCGTCGGTAGAAGTTATAGGAGATACTAATATAGCCCGAGTTATAGAAGATAATAGGTAACGAGCTAGTCCGGTTCCGCGGTATCTAAGGACCCGCGATTAAGGCGATCCAATAGGGATAGAGTCCGATTATTATAGTAATATCTACCGGCGGCGGTAAGAGCGTATTATTTATATTACCCGCGTAGGTCGCTAGTAGTACGACGGTAGTAGTAGTCCCGCTAATCGTATTACGTAGCGATATATAGCGACGATACTAGCGGTTGAATATCCGATATATTAAATAGGAGAGCCGGTAGCCGGCCGACGATACGAATATCGTGCTAGTTACGCCCGAGTCCGCGCTAGGACCAGATTTTATAGGTTTTTTAAACCGGTAGAGGCTATAGCACCGATTAGATCGGATTGTTATTAACGAGTACCACGTTATATTAAACGACTAGAAGGATTTCCGCCCCGTTATAGCCCGACTAGGGCGGTTAAGTAGGTTTAGAGTATAGATAGTATATATAATAGCGACATTACCACCCCGCGAGGAGAGTAAGATATTCATACGTATCGAGACGACCCGCGAGAAGGTATAGTTATTCCGTACCCGTATAAGTCGCAGTAACGTGGTATACCGGGTAGTTCGTCCCACAGTAGACCGGTAGTATATATTTAGGGACCATTAGATCGAGGCGCCGTAGGTATTATCTATAATCCGCGACCGTATCCGTCGCAGTCGACTAGGTAAGGTAATTGTATATATATCGGTAGTCCGGACGGGACAGATATTAGTAAGCGAGCTAGGGTACGGGATATACCACAGCCGACAATTAGATAAGGCGAGGGTGTTAGGCGAGTTCTAGAGCGGGCAGTCGCTAGTAATCGTAGCTACTAGCGCATTAGGTATAGGGGTAGACATTCCCGATATCCGTTATATTATCTATATTAGGCAGCCACGCACGTTAATAGATTACGCGTAGGAGAGCGGTCGTATAGGCCGTAACGGCCAGCGCAGCGAGGCCATTATTATCTAGCCGGCGAAGACGTAAATGCTAGAGTATATGATCTAGGATATACCAGAGGATAAGGTACGACGTATTCAATAGTATATAGAGGCGGAGCATCCTAGTTATCGAAGATATATATTAGATAGGTATTTAGACGGCACGGTAGATAGATACCGACGAAGTTATTGCGGCGATCACGGTCAAGTAGAGCAGATATATAATAGATATGACCCGGATTAGCTAGCGCACGAGAAGGAGATAGGCGGCACAGCGAGTACGCCTAGGGTTGACGTGGTGGTCGATATAGATACCGACATAAACAGTAGAGTCGAAGATAGTGAGAGCTATATAGAGGATTCCAGCGACGAGCCTATATACGATAGGGGAGTGACCCCATTCGAAGTCAACGTCGACCCTAGGGAGATATAGTAGGTCGACGTAGGGCGATAGGTAACGCGGGACACGATCCGGGCGGCGCAGTCAGGAAGTCGGGTGGCGCAGGCGCGATTACGCAAAGCGGCCAGATACCGAGTGCGGCAGGCCGTTAGTAGGATTTGTGAAGAGAATTTCGAAGAGCATACTAATGTATTCAGCGACGAGGAATGCGACCGGGCAATCGACGGACCCAGGCAGGAATCATCGGCCGACGCAGTACATAGTGAAAGCGACGAGGGATCGGAGATGTTCCAGTCCCAGGCTAGAAGTCCCGGGCAGTCAATACCCAGGCGGATTACCGATAAGCCATACGACAAATTGGAAGGGTTCCAGTCCCAGGTTAGCAGACAACGGAGCCAGACATCCCCCTAGTTCCAACGGGACCCATCGACAACCACCAGTGCGGTCCAGATCAGAAAGCGAGCAGCAATTGACCAGGCGGAGGAGCGTACTGCCCAGCGGGCACAGATTCGGCAGACAGCGAACCAGGAGTTCCAGCGTCAGGACTAGGAGCGGCAGATAGCACGGGTATTATTCTAGCAGGAGCAGGAGCTAATAGGGCCACAAGAAGGGTTTTTAGAACAGCAGGTAGCGCAGTGGGTACAACGGTATTTTTTATGCGAGCAGTAAGGCAGAGCGTACGACCACGAGTTATTCTAGTGTTATGATCCTAGGCACTAGGAGGTACGGCAGTGGATGATAGAAGTGCGCAAGGAGATCCGGGGGCATTGGGCCAAGTTTTGTGGTTGTTATCAATATGGGTTACCGCAGACGATATACAGGAGTTTCCAGAGCCAAGGGCCATGTGTATATCGCAATATGATGATTAGTACGATTGCGATAATGGTGTTTGGGCCGCAGGGCGGCAATAGTGCGGGGGAGGAGGTACGTAAAGGGTGGGCACGGCGGTTAGAGGAGCATGGGGTAGGGATTGAGGACCAGGACGGGCTAGTGCGGTATTTGGGATCGAGACATAGGAACGAGGAGGTGTTTAAATTGGCGGTGGAATTTGTATGGTTACGGCGGGCATGGATAGAGGTCGGCGGGGTTTAGTGTATTGGATGGAAGTTGTAAGGATTATATATATCAAGATGGGATTGCAAAGACGGGGATATTAACGAGATAACGAGTAGATTAACACAAATATATATTTCCAGATATAGTTGTGCAGAGGAAGAAAGTGAGTTTTAAATTTAGATTTGCAGTGATGATTGAATATTATGTAGGGGTCAGGGTTTGGAAGGTAGGATAGAGGCAGGTTTACCGATGGTGAGGGGTGAGGGTTTTGGAAGTTAGAATCGAGGCAGGTTGACATATGGGTTGGGGTGAGGGTTTTGGAAGTTGGGATTGAGGCCGGTTTACAAATAGTCCGGTTCACAGATAGGCATAGGCCAGGGGGTTGGATGTTTGGATTTGAAAGATTTGCATAGGGCAGATCGAGGGGGGAGGGTTTTGGAGGTTGGAATCGAGGCAGGTTTCACATATGGTGAGGGGGCAGGGTTTCGGGAGTTCGGATTGAGGCCAGGTTACAGATGGTCATGGGTCAGGGTTTTGGACATTTGGATTGAAAAGATTCATAGAGGGCAAGATTGAGGGGGGAGGGTTGTGGAAGTTGGGATGGAGGCCGGTTTACACATAGTTATGGGTGAGGGTTTGGAAGGTAGCAACAAGGCAGGAAGAAGGTAGGTCCAGACATTACACATTGCCAGGGGTGAGGGTTTTGGATGTTGGGGTTGGGGAGTGATAATCCAAGGGGTTGGGACAAGTTTGGGGAATTGATACCAGAAGAGTAGTTTGGGTAGTAGTATCCAAGGGTAGAGCAGTTTTGGGCAAGTAGTTTTGGTGAGGGTTTTGGGAGGAAGAGAAGGGCTTAGAAGGCGGGGAAAAAAGGGGGGTTTTTTTTTAAAGGGAATTTTTAGGGTTAGGGTTTAGGGCTTAGGGTTTAGGGTTAGGGTTTAGGGTTTTAGGGTTTAGGG